TGTCTGGTTGGCTGGTTTGCTTAAGCAGGGTTCCATTGTAAGGTTGTACTTCACATTGTTTATTCACTGTGGACAGATGGGTATTTTGGATGTTTCCTATTTGGGGCCATTATAAACTCTAGAAAAGTTCTGTTCAGGCCTTTGTATGGACATAGCTTTTATTTCTTTTGGGTAAATACATAGAAGTAGAATTGCTGGATCTACATGCTAAGTGTCTCTGATTTTATAATAAGCTGACAAGTGACTGGACCGAGAGTTCCAGTTGCTCCACATCCTCGCCAATCTTTGATGATGTCAGTCTTTCCATTTTAGTGGGTGTGTAATGTTATCTCGTTTGGATTATTAATTGCATTTCCCTGCTGACTAATGATACTGAGCATTTTTTGTGTGCATATTAGCCATTCTTATAGCTTCCATGAAGTAGCTGTTCAGACCTTTTGCATATTATCTTTTAAATTGGTTGGTCTTATTGAATTGTAAAATTTCTTTGTGTATTCTGGGTAAAAGTCTTTTGTCAGATATAATACGCACTATGAATGTTTCCTGTTTCTGGCTTCCTGTTTTGCTTTCTTAAGTATCAAAGAGAAGATATTTTTAAATTTGATGGAGTCCAGTTATCAGGGGTTTTTTCTCTTATAATTTGTGCTTTTTGTGTCCTGTATAAGACATCTTTCTAGCCAAATTTCTCCTGTGTTTTCTTCTAGAAGTTTTATAGTTTTAACATTTTCATTTAGGGCTGTGTTCTGAGTTAAATTTTGTGTATCATATGAGGTAAGAGTCAGTTTTCCCTATGAATCCCCCTTCTTTCTGCAGAATTTCTGGAAAATACCATATTTCCCCTATTGAATTGCTTTGGCACCTTTGTTGAAAGTGAACTTACTATATAGGTAAGCATCTATTTGTTCCATTGATTTATATATATCTTTATTTATATATAGCTATATTTTACATACAAACAACACTGCCTTGATTACTGTAGCTTTATAGTAAGTCTCAAAATTAGGCAACGTTAGTCTTTCCACCTTGTTCATCTTTTTCAAAAGGGGTTTGACTATTCTAGGTCGTTTGCATTTCTGTATAATTTTTTAATCAGTTTATCAATTTCTGGAATAAGCCTGCTGGAATCTTGACTGCCATTTCACAGAATCAGTAGATTTACCGGGAGGGAAATTGGCACTTAACAATACAGAATCTTCCAAGCCATTAACATCTTTTATATCTCTATTTAGGAGCTTTTTCATAGTCTTTAGGCAATGTTTTCACATTTTTCAGTATGTAAGTCTTGTATGTATTTTGTTAAATTTGTCCCTAAGAATTTCATGTTTTTGATGCTACTATAACTGCTTACGTTGATTTCTTTCTTTATTTTATATCAGTTATATCTATATTTTAACTTCTGTCTCATTGTTCCCTGCTGGGGAGATTGATACAAAATATGCAATTTATATAAAAATACAGTTGACTTTTGTATGTCGACCTTGTACCCTGTCACCTTGCCAAATTCACTTATTAGTACTAACCGCGTTTTGTAGATACCCCTTAACATTTTCTGCATAAACAGTCACGTCATCTGCAAATAAAGACTGTTTTACTTCTTCCTTTCAAAAGTGTATGACTTTTCTTTCCTTATTGCAAGGCTAGAAACTCCAGTATAGTGTTGAATACAAGTAGTCAAGCGGACGTCCTTGTGTTGTTTTAGACAGAAGGGGCAAGTGGTCAGTCTTTCATCCTTATGTATGTTGACTGTTAACTTTACCAAGTTGAGGTAAATTCCTTTCTTTTCCTGGTTTCCTGAACAGCTGTTGATTGTGTCCAGTGCTTTCCTTGCGTTTATTGAGATGACTGGGTGGCTTTTCTCTTTTGTTCTGTTAATACAGTAAAACACCTTGATTTTTCTTCAGCGTGTTCAACCAACCTTCATTCCTGGGTTGAACCACAGTTAAATATAGTGTATCATCCTTATATATTGTTGGATTCAATCTGCTAATGTTTGGTCAAGGATTTTTTTTTTTAATCTACATTCATGATGCTATTGGTCTGTAGTTTTCTTACAATGTCTTTGCCTAGTTTTGGTATCAGGATAATGCTGGCCTCATGAGTTTGGGCATTTTTCTTTCTTCTCTCTTCTCTGGAAGAATTTGTGTACAGTGGGCTGTATGTATTCCTTAAATGTTTCGTAGTATTCACCAAAGCTAATAAGTCCAGTTCATTATCACTTTGGGCTTGCCTACATTTTCATATTTTAGGAAATTTGTAAATGTGTTCAAAACATTTAATCCTGGCTACTTTTACTGATTTTATTTTATTTTATGTTTTTGGAGAAACTGTCATTAATTTCTTTTTACTGTGGTGAAGTATATGTAACATAAAGCTTACCATTTCAACCATTTTTAAGTGTGTAGTTGCGTTAAGTACATTCACACTGTGGTGTGGACTTCGGTTTCTTTTACTGGTATTTCTTAAACGGGAATATTTTTAAATTAAAGACATTCCATTTAATCTAGCATTTCAGCTTTTTTTTTTTTTTTTAACTTAAGATCTCCAGCATTGATATCATCTTGTGTAACTGAAACTTTGTGCCCTTTGACCCACATCTCCCCATTTCCCCCACCCTCAGCCCCTGGCAACCACCATCCTACCCTCTGCTTCTAAGTGTTTTTGACTGTTTTAGGTTCCACATATGAGTGAGCTCATGCAGTATTTCTCCATCATCAATTATTCAAACATAACCTTTTTTGTAAATGCGTTAGGTGAAAACATAGTTCGACGTGAATGACATTATGATAGCAGTTATTTTTTATACTTGTATACAGTTTCATAAAGTTATGCATTTGAATTATATTTTCACCTTGCACGTTGGTTTCACCTCTTAATGATAATAAACCCTGTTACTGGGAGAATTTTAAAATAATTAAGGATTTCAGGAAAATGCTTTGTATTTGAAAAATTAAGTTGTGTTTTATTATATTTAGCTGGTGTAGCTCTTTATTCAGATCATTTGAATTCTGGAGTTGCCAAAGGGAGATGTTATGAATATGGTTTGAACTCACCCTCGACATCTTTGTTGCACGTGAGTATTTCACAAGAAATACTCAGTGCGAATCACCTTTCTTTTGCCACTGGGTGGATTGTCACCAACAATGCGAGAGTGACAGCACTTTGTAAATGACTCCCAAAACACAGGTCAGAATTACTTTAGGAAAACAGTAGTGCCAGAAAAGGTAATGTTATAGAGTTTTTCTTGTACGTATAGGAGAAAGGAATTCAGTTATGCTGCTATGATTTAAAAGAAAAAGTGTTCAAAACAAACATACAGAATAAATGGCATTGTATAAAATAACAAATTTTATTTCTATAAAATATTTTACACTAGCTGTACACATGCACACACCCACACAGAACTTAACCACACATTGAGTAATTTCCTTTTAATAAATCTACCACATACTATTGTATTACAATTTACAATACAGTTTTTGAAGACACAGTGGGGAAAGCTTCATCATTCATTTATAAACCTCCCATAAATTACAAAAGAAAGGCAGTCTGAAAAGTATGTATAAAGAGTAAAAACAATTTACAAGTGGACAAGAATTACAAAATAGTATAACCATCAAATACATCTGCCAGCAACTTTGTAAATCTTTGTTGTTGTTGTTCAGGTGCCAATGGTGAAGACTGGTGTGGAATCATTTTGAACAGACTTAGTATGTTTTCGGTGTGGCTTATGCATTATGTGGATTGCTTTACGTGTAGGCTGTTCATTGTCGATTATCTGTGTATGGCATTTTGACAAATAATGAAAGTAACGTAAATCCATATGCCACAAAATGTAACACTGAAAGCAATGAATATTACCAGCTTTTTGGCAGGTTGGAGTAGTGGTACTTTACCAAAGTTACTTCCTCTCCTCTTTTTTAAATGATTTGAATAAGTAAACATTTCCTGTGTGTCGCCTGGCTTGCTTCGAAAGACAGAAAACCAGGATCTTATCATTGCACAGCCTGTGCAACTTGGTCTCAAAGCACTGTGTCTGTGGGGGTGGAGGGCACTGAATGCACAACACATACAACGTGTACACTGTAGCTTTTATTGGACAGTACAGATCATTGTGCACTTATAAGGCAGGACATCAAGGCGGTTAAACTAGGAATTTCAAGACCGGAGTTCAAGTGAGAGTTAGTTATGCGTCATGAGGCAAGCATGTTTGAAAAGGGAGCGAGGTTGGAATCATTCCTTCAAGGGCAGATGACAAATGCACAAAGGCTGGGGCCCCAGGTAGGGAGTGAGCTACAAAGAGCTACTGGCCGCCCTGCGTGCTCACGAGACAGCCCAGCTCCCGCCAGGGCCCCGCAATAACAAGAGCGATGGGCGCGGAGGCCCGGCGGGAGTACCAGAAGCTCTGTGTCCTGGCGCTGGGTTTAAAGTGGACGGTAGTGCAAAGAGCATTTCTCTACTGGTGTCAGGGGAGAAGATTGGTTTTTTAGGAAGTACTTGAGTCATGAAAGCCCTAGTTTGGAATTAAAGAAAATTACATAGATTTGGAAGTTGTCCGGAAGCACGTGAATCATTTCACTGCACCCAGCTTTTTCAGCAGTTTCTTGCCTTTGGAAAGCAGCCCCTTTTTCTTTCTCGAGGACATTTCCCTGCCTCTCCCAGGACTACCAGTACCCATAGATGACGTAGGTGACCCAGAATGGAGATGGGCTGTGGGAGATGGCACTCTCCTTGCTGTACCTGAACCCTCAGGAGGAACCTAGTAGGCACATTGGTACAGGTCATTGAGTGCGTGAGCGCCGGCAGCACCCCTCCGCTCGCCGCGCAGCATCAGTAACGCCACACGGCCCCGTTTCCCACCAGGCAAGGTGAGGGTGGTTCGTTTCTTCTCTGAAGGGTTGAAGTATCCCGTGAGAGGCACACGGCCCCTCCCACGGCATAGCTCAGGGCGGGGGGGGGGGGGGGGTCTGAGGGCCCCCAGAGAGAGGGCCAGCAGGGTGGGGTTTTCGGTTTCTTTGTGTTCGGGGGAGGGAGTGGCCATTGCTCTGGCAACACAGAGCTGGGTAATCATTGACTTTGTAAATTAAGACCAGAAGCAGGAAGAAGGAGTCATTTTGAATTAGGTTGAGACTAAGACTGGCTGAGTACCCGTCAGTAATCTTAAAGGCAAACGTTCTTAAGGGGAATTTCGAATTTGAAAACTACTTGGGCGTATGAGATCCTGACGTTGAGTACATTCCTGGGTTAGTATACTAGAGAAATACTGGAGATGGCACACCGGTTGAAAGAAAAATAAATAAATAAATAAAATAAAATGAACCTTAATTTCAATCAAAGAAAGCTTAAAGGCCCTTATTGTACGCTCTCATTATTTCCAAGGTATTAAAGGTGAGTTTTTGTCGATACAGAGCACACGGTAGGGTTTCCGTGCACTCGAGTGCTTCCTGGCGCCTCACAGGAGCGGAACTGTATTCTAACGCGGGCATGACGACGTGGGCTCACCCGCGTTTACGGTCGCATGCATGCCTGCGATTATAATACCACCACCTTTCCTCTCGCTCCCTTACCCCACCAGAGCAAAGCGCTTTCTAATGCGAGTACTCGTTATTCATCAGGCAAACAGGAGCCCAGGGGCTTCAAGCTTCCTTGGATTTAAAATCAGGGTCTAATTCTAATGGAGAACACCTACTAAATCATCCCAAAGTACACCTGAAGATACCATCTATTCCATCTAATGCAATCATTTGAGCTGCACGTTTCATTAAACTTGGTATTGCATTGGTATACCAACAAAGCAGTCTTCCAGCCAAACGCCTGCGTGTTCAGGACACTTGCTTGTGCTTTGAGGAGGCGCATCAGCTCTCCCCGTAAGGTAGGGGGACGGTCACTTAAGAAAAAGCCGCCTGCATTCCAGGCAGCATGGGGAGTGTTCAGAGCCAGCTCTAGATCACCTCGTGTTCACTACTCATCCACTCGATCTTGAGTTGCGGGTTTTTTTTTTTTTTACGTAAAATTTCCAGAGGAAACATTTTATTAGCTTGTGCTTTTTCCAAGAGTGGCTAACAATGCAATATGCAGCTTGAATTATGACTAGACATTGGAACACTGTGTAAACAAACAATTAGCCTGTTAAGAAATATGTTCCCAATGTTGGCCTCTTCCAAATATTCTTAACGTAAATCGTAGGAAATGATTATCAAAGATGATTTACTTCACTACAAATTCAGTTGCTTTACAACTGAGACCAATAACACTTTAGGTCCAGTGAGTTTTTGAGACATATTTCTTCTTTTTTTTAGCCCCCCCAGTGAAGCCTTAAGTCTACCGCATTGGTCCACTGCAGGTAGCTTAGGTTGCTATGTTTACAGGTATCTTCAGTTGCTCACTTACGTGAAGGCTACATTGCCTGATTAAGGGGTGAAATGCACACTCTTCTTCTGTTTCCAAGCAGATGAGCAAAGAAATAAAATATATATAAAAATATAATATATAAAAACTCGCAGTGATGAAATAAAATAAAAATGAGACACCAAACAAATGTAATCTGACAGTTATATATGGCTGAGAAGTTCTTTGACCTTTGCTGAGAAGATCTGTTAAAACCCTGACAGGGCAAATAACCATTACTGCCCACCGAGTCTAAGGACTGTAGCCATCCCCGTTTCACTCTTAAACTGGACTGTGCGTCTGTGACGTAGGATGGCAAGTTCCTTTGTGAGCAAAGCAGACTGATTAGATTGAAAGGGGCATTTTGGTGAAACAAGTAAACTTGGTTTAGAATTAGGAATCTTTAGGCACAACCCCCATGGAAGGGCAGAGGAAAAATTCAGGGTATATGCTTTTCGACCTAAGACATAAAAAGCAATGCAAAGACTGCAGTAGACCGTCTGTGGCGGAGTGGGACAGGGGTTAAAAGTGCTGAACACACGTGCTTACCCTTTTCGTCTTCGAGCGTGTCGGCGTGTCCTGCGGGTAGTGGGACGGCGCGTCAGAAAGATAGACTTCTACATCATCAGGCACTTCTTCTAGGAAGTTGGAGGGTACGAGGCCTTTCTGCCCACTAAGCTCCCCCTAAAAACACAGGGATGAGAGGAACAGTTGACTCTTATTTTTCCAGAAACCTGCTTCTTGCTTTAGGTAAAGGAACACAGCTCAGAGTAGCGAGTTTATTCTGGCTCAAAAGTGGCAGACAGGCCGGGACTCCAGTGTTTCCGGACTCCCCTGATCACAAGAGTGAGCTCGGCCACGTGCTCGAAGTGCAGGGTCCCGGCGCCCGCCCTGAGGTCCCGACCTGGCCTGTCTGGAGCGGAGCTGAGGACCTGTTTCGGCCAAGGGGCCTGGGTGGTTCTCAGGGTCAGGCACGCTTAGGGACAGTCCTGGGGAGCACCTCACTTAGAGGTTCTCGGCCCTGACCAACCTCTGAGTCCCACGGGAGCTTGCACAAATAGCGTTGCTTGGGTGCACTGAGAGAGGGGAGCGGGGGGCGGGTGTCACATGCGGGGGCAGGATTGAGGGGGCCGACCAGTTCCACCTGGTATCTTTCATCCTGTGCGTCGCTACAGCCTCGCTGTAAGAATGCACCCAAGAGGGGACGGTGAAAGTGTTGGCACCTCCTCGAGGTGACTGCTTCAGGTTGGTATATATCCTTCCGGACCTTTCTACGCAGTCACGTGTCCATGCATGGAACACAGTTCCAACTGCCCACTGGACGTCAGTCCCGAGCAGCTCACAGCCCACCACATCAACCCCCCCCCCCAGTGCCACCTTGCCCCACAGAACCCAAAACCAAGCTCAAAACTGGCCCCAGACAACCTGGGAGTGTGTTTCTCTGTCCAGTAGGTGTAGGAGATGGTGGCAACTTGAAAGAGACAGCCTACAGCATCAAAATGAAAACTCTGCATCCAGGAACGTGATGAACAGAGTGAATGGGAGAAAATGCCTGCAAGTCATATATCTAGTAAGGGGTTATAAAGGATATATAAAGAACTTCTACAACTTAACAAAATAAACAACCCAATTAAGAAGTGGGCGAAGGACTTGAACAGATAATTTCTCAAAAAAAAAAAAAAAAAGACAGATGGCTAAGTAGCACATACAAGATGCTCAGCATCACTACTCATTAGGGAAATGTAAATCAAAACCTCAAGATACCACCTCACATCCATTAGGATGGCTACTATAAACATATTTTAATGTTGGTGTAGATACGGAAAAATTGGAACCCTTGTGCACTGTTGGTGGGACTGTGAAACGGTACAGCCACTATGGAGGAAACAGTACGGTGGTTCCTCAAAAAATTAAAAATAGAATTACCATATGATATGATCCAACAATTCCACTTCTGGGTGTTTACCCAGAAGAACTGAAAGCAGAATTTTGAAGAGAGAATCGTGTACCTATATTCATAGCAGCATTCTTCACAATAGCCAAAGGATGGAAGCAACCTAGCTGTGCACCAGCGGGTGAATGGATAAACAAAATGTGGTACAGTGGAGTGTTATTCAGCCTTAAGAAAGGAAGGATATTCTGACCTATGCTACTACAGAGACGAACCTTGAGGACGTTATGCTAAGTGAAGGGTCATAAGCAGACGTATACTGTGTGATTCCACTTACATAGGTCCGGAGAGCAGTCAGAGTCTAGAGACAGAAAGAAGAAGGGTGGGCGCCAGGGGGAGGGGACAGTGGGGACTTGGTGTTTGATGGGGACAGAGTTAATCTTGCAAGATGGAAAGAGTTCTGGAGATGGATGGTGGTGACGGTTGCACGACAGTGTGAGTGTACTTAACGCTGTTGAACTGTACACTTATAAGTGATTACGATGGTAAATTATGTGTATTTTCTCACAATTAAAAATTAAAATTAATTTTTTTAAAAGAGGCAGGTCCAGGTACCCCCCCCCCGTCTTCCTGTGCGGTAATCCCTCCTGAGCCCAACAGCCACGTGCCCAGTCGCCCACCAGCTCCTTCTGCCTAGACCCTGAAGATCCCACCCTCCTGTTTACCTGTGGCCGCTTCAACCCTTCTTCCTCAGGCTCCACCGTTAGCTTGTCTTTCTCCGTTGGTGTTACTTAGGCACTCTTTCTAGGACAGCTTTGCTTTTTGCTGTACACGTCTCCCTGGTGATTTCTTCCACGCCAGCGCTTGCAGACAACACGTATATATGCAAAGGCGCTGGAACGTCTGTCCAGTCCAGACCTCTCAGTAGGTCCACCAGCCAGATTTTCCCTCCAGCACCAGAGGTAAGCACCGGATGGAGTAGCTGGCTCGTGGTGGGGGCTACATTCTATGAAAAGGCACAGCTCTACACACACATCCCCATCAGCACCATGTTCACATCTCAAGAGGCACCTGTGTGAACCACGTGTTCAGGCTCCCGGGCTGAGCCCTGCCCTGGGCTCCCCGATACAGCGGTGGAGGGAACTAACTGCGCTCTTCATTGTTTCCTCTCTTCTCTTGAGCCTCCCGGCACAGTTCTGCTAAATCACACGTCAAAAGTGCACACGACACGACTTCACCGTTGGCGTCCATCGCCACGTACCCCGGCACAGGACGTGGTCGCTAGAATCACGCACCTGCGTGAGTCCCCCTCCACGTTGGAGAGGCTCTGTAGCCCCAAGCTCAATAGTTTCTAAGCCGTGTTTTCCTCGCTACCGTGTCCTCATTTCTGTGTTCCCAAGGGCCCCCATCGGCTGTGGCAGAATCTGCAGACCCTCCTGGAAGATGTCACAGCTACAGATCTGAGCCCTGCGCGGCCTCGAGCCTATCTCTGTCAGCCTCCCCCGTCACCGTCTCAGTGCAGGCCCTTGCCCGTCACCTGGGCCGTTCCATCGCTCGTCGCCTGGCCTCGGGACTCGCACCTCCCTTAAACGGTCCACTCGCGAAGCCCTTGACCATAATAACATCTCCCCCACTTGCAGACCCTTCACAGTCTGATCTCTGCTCCTCCTCGAGCCTCATTTCTACCGCTTTTGTGTTTGAGGCCGGATACGAACCGTGTGAAGACCTTACAGTTAGAACTGGAATCCGCTGGGCTGGGCTGAGGAGCAGAAAGCGTTACGGTCTACCCCGGGCCCTTTTTCCCCACGCCCAGTCAGCACGAGGCCCCATCACGCTTGCACACGTCTCCTCCTTTGCTTCCTTTAATACTTCAGAATGCTACTGTACGGCCTGTTTCCCTCTGACCTATCGAAGTACATGATTTAAGAGTTTGGGTGTTGAAACACTGGGCAGTGCAAGCATCTGGCTAACACAGCGCGAGGGTTAAAGCATTGCGGGGTGCTGGGAGTCTCAAATGACTGGAGACCAGGCGGGGACTTCACTGGGGATGCTGTGAGTTGTGGAGGGGAAGGTCCAGGTAGACAGCAGAGGCCCCTCTGTCTACACTCTGTTCACTGTGGGATGTGGTGGGACCGAGGAGAGAGTAGGAAGACATGGCAGGACTAGGTCCCGTGAAATAGCTGCAAGTTAGCTCCCTTGAGAGCTTTTACGATCGCACGTGATGTGAGACAATGCAAGTGTGGCGAAATTTAAGATTTTTGGTATTAAGTGAGGTATCCGCGGTTCTTGTTTACCAAATAAAAAAGAATAAGTGCACTGGACAGTCTACTCAGCAAATCTGACCAACAAAATAACACTAAAGCCATCTGGTGGGAAGAGAACTAAAACGTGTACATATCAATTTAGATCTGATTCCTACTATCATATAAAATTTAGGCAGGCTGTTCGAGAAAATAAAGTAGATAAAACAATGTAGGAACGGGAACATGCAGATCATATTAGAAAACTATGTTTAAATTACCAGAAAATACTATGTCCAGTTTTGTCTATATGTTTGAAAATCTAAATGAAAGGCGTGGCTTTTCTAAATATATAAAGTATCAAAAATTGACTCAATAAGAAGGTAATTATTTAAGCAAGTGAAAACTTTTGTACAACTGCATCCTAAAAGGACACTGAACCTAAAAGATTTTTAGGCAGGTTGTAAAATAACCTTCATGTAACTGTAGGACCTTAACTATGTCATTTAATCTGTTCGGAGCATGAAAAATACTGGAAGCTTACCAGTTCATTCATAATTCTAGCATAATCCTGATACCAGAAGCCACAAAAAAAGATACTCCAATAAATATAAATCCATATAATTTCTGGAATATAAATATAACTTCTGAATAAAATGTTAGCAAATCAAATCCAGTGCTTTAAAAGTAATTGTAAAAAAAATAGTTGTACACCATGGTCAGTAATTTACTGACAAAAAAATAAGTTCAGCAAATGAAAAACAGGATGCTTAACATGATAAAGACTACCTATCTTTATCGATAACCTAGCCTAACACATAACAGTGTAAAGATTAGTGATATTCCTACTAAAATACAGACTGTCAGGGATCCCCCGTCCCTGTCATTCAGAATTGTTTTCAATGATGCAATAAGACAATAAAAAGAGATGACTGATAAATACTGAAGAAAAGACAAAATGTCATGATTTGGGGAACCCGAGAGAACCAACTGATGACAATGGATATAAGTGCATTCAGAAAAAAGATTTGTAGGGGAACATAAACACACATGCGCATAAATGGGCACACAGTGCATACATATGCACACACGTAAACATGCACACACACGCACACACACAGGCACACGATATATACACATACATGCACACGCACATAAATAGGTACACAGCACACATACATGCACACACATGCATACTCGCGCACATAAACACACATGCACATAAATGGGCACACAGTACATACACATAAACATACACGCACACACATATGCGTGCACACGCAATATACACGCGCACATACAATTCATGTACACATATATGCACACACGTGTACATTGCATACACACACACACACACACATTTCCAACATATTTTCTAAATAACCAGTAAAATATATACCAGAAAAAAATCATAATAGCAAGAACATAAGAATGAACTTTGAAAGATATATAAAAGGATGTGTAAGAAGAAATTCATGAACCTTCTGACAGATGAAAGGGAAAACTTAAAAAATGTCAGACACACCATGTGTCCAAATCAGAAGACAATATTATGTCAAGTCCCCCCCAGTTTAACCTAAAAACTAAAAGCACCTCTAAACAAAATACTATGGGTTTGTTGTAGAGCAGGCTCTTTACAAAAACGGTTCCTCCCAAATATGAAAATGAATTATAAAAATACAATAACTGAGATAGTGTCAAGTAGCATTGAAGTCCAGAAACCCTCTAGGTAGGAATGCAGTTCATAGGAGACAGATGGGATCTTTAGCCAGCAGAGAAAGGACGGATTATTTAATAAGTGGTGTGGGGACATTAGTTTCTCTAATTAGAAATCAAAAATAAAGTTAAACACTTGAGATTTACATGTGAAAATGAAGCTATAAAAGTGAAGAACCAAAGTAAGATAACTTCTATCAATCGCCTTGAAGGACTTTTTAAGCATGACTCCCAGGGGCAGACGAAACTGACTACGGACACATTTAGAACTCCTGCTTCATAAAGGAAAACAAAGCAACAAAACCACACACACACAAGGAAAAGCTAAAAAGCAGACAATGACCTAGAAAAAGAACGATTTGCAACATACGGGACAAAGTATTGAGACAGGCTGGGACCTGGGACCTGGGACCCTTTGCTGCAGTGCTTGTACCCGGACAGATGTCATCTCCTCAAGCAACAAAATACAAAGAAACTATAAGGGACTAAGAATAACCGCATGCATGCACAGTTGGGGCAAATTATGGACAACAAGGTACAAAAAGACCAAAAAAAAAAACCCAACTGCCCCTTCTGAAGAGCTGGGAGCAAAAACAGGGTGTCAGGAGCAAAAGCAGGGCACTGCACATGCCCCCTGCACTCAGCACCACCAAAGGGGTGGGCAGACCTCCTAAGCCACGCCTCCAGCCCGACCCCTGGACCCACCCCTACCCTCACCCCACAGAAGGAACAAGCTCGCACCCCCTCAGGGAGCGATCAAGGGAACCTGTTACTGGTTCTTGCTCCCCCTGCTGCAGCAGGGGCCCCAGTAAAGCCTTGCCTGAATTTCTTGTCTGGCCTCTGATCAATTTCTATTGATTAAGGGGGCCAAGAACCCTGGTCGGTAACGGTATGAATAGTCTCACTAAAAACTGTACTTTTAAAACTCAGAAACTGCGCAGAGGAGAGAGCTTTGAAAGGCCACGTGTGCCTGAGTTTGTAAAATCCCTTTGACCCCAAGAGAAACCTGCCATATCAGTACCTGAGAGTTTCTCAGCTACTTTGATTTTTTTAGAAAAAGAAAAGAAAAAGGAGGAAGGTTGGACTCTGATGCAAGATGGTGACCCCACTCCCAAGGCAGGGGACAGCGGTGGGTGTCTGGCCGGGCAGGAGCCGCCAAGATGACCACCTTCTCTTCCTCGGGGATTATCGCGAGACTGGCTCCTCCACGGGAAGGGGAATGAGAAGGAAGGAGGCTGGCGCCGGCGTAGAGCCAGGACTGCCCCCCAGAGACTAGGTCCACAGGGCTGGGCGAAGGAGGTCAGTGAGGAGGCTTTTAGTTAATTAATTATGCTTCTTTGTATTTCTTCCTTTTCCTATTTGAAAATGTATTTATTACCTACGCAGTAAGTAATCCAGAACATTAAACTGTTTGGTAAAGGTCTGGATGGAGGAAATTTTAAGTGTAAACATGTAAATACCCTTCCTTTGCTGACAGCTTGTATACGTCGAAAATACCCCTATTAGAAAAGAAGGAACCGTGAAGATTACACGACTGCCGTCCCATAGTATGTCCTCAGGAAGGAAGACAATCAAATTAGCCAACCCGTCAGCAAGCCATACAGAGTTCATACATGATTTCAGGGGAAAGAAGAGACAAGCAAAATTATATATATATACACTTGATGCTTCAAAACTTACATAATAAAATCCATCTTCATCAATTTCACCAAAAACAGTAATAATATCTCCAGTGCAAAATGTAAGTTCAGCCTGTAGAGATAGAACATAAAGTTAAAAGTGTTCTCCTGGAGACAGAAGTTGCTTTTTTAAAAAAAAAAAAAAAAAAAAAAAAAAGTTCTTCATGATTTCTGGTATGATTTCTCTTTTTTTCTTATTATTTTGGTATGAACCTATTCTTTCAGTCAAATAAGGAGGAAAGGTATAAATCTGATGAATGTCTCTGTCCCTAGCCTCTTAGAAAGTAAGGATATGTCATGATGACTCCAGCCTACGAGAAAAGGGCTGCCGGGCTCTGATTCTCGGCCAGAATTCAAGGTCGTCCCCACGTTCTGCTGGCGGCACGTCTTTAGAACCAGTCAAATAGTCAACTTAAAAAACCCGGAGCCTCAAGGAGATGGCCTCTGCAGCGTAGGGACCATTGCACAAACAGCCTTTCACCGAGTGTAAAAAAAAATCTGTAATTAAATGTCTGTTTATTAAGTGTCTATGCCAGGCTCCAGGCTAGAGGTGGGTGCATAGAATCCAGCAGAGGATACCAGAAAAAACTGCATTTGTATCTCTCGACGTGAAAAGAGGGACTAAAGTTCATACCTAAGAGCCATCAGGCATCATACACAAATCAAGCCTGTACAGAACTTTGAACATACCTGAGCTCTGAATCAGAGCCACGAGCTGCTCGCCCGTCAGGTGTAACAGAAATACCGAGGACCAGGGGTCGGTACACATCTTGTCATCTAAGAAAGCAGCCCCACAGACTGGAAACCTAATCTTTCATTTCTGAAGGCAATTCCTTTTCAGTTTTCACAAGGTTCCTAGGACCCCAAAACTACATGCACAGAGAACACCAATCCTTTCTTCTCTATCTTCCTTGAATGTGTGTGTGGCGGCCATGAGGGTCAGTGGCCACATGCAGGGGGCTTTGCTTTCTCTCTCCAGGACGACCCATCACCACCAGGTGTGGGTCACAGGGCTTGCCCAGCGCTGGTCCAGGGAAACCCTATGTCAGTGGCTGCCATGTCCTGAGCGTGTCACCAGGCTCACGACCTCTCTCCTGCCTGCCTGGGTCCCTATTTACTGGTCGGGTAGCCCTGCCCTCGGACAGGTCCAGAGAAGGCAGGGAGGGAGCAGTGCTGTCAGCAGAGGTGTGGGGCGCTTGGCCGGTACCTCGACATCGATGTTGGGCGAGCTCTCCCTCGGGTCGTAGTCGTACAGGGCAACCATCCTCCGTGTCGCCACCGAGGGCTGCCTGATGCTCCTTCTGTTTCTCTCTGTTCCCGTCACAGGAGAAGAAGAAAGACACCATGAAGTGATTTCAGAGCCGGGTCACAGATGGCCAGTGTGGCCGAGGCGACCACTGGGCACTACTGCCAGCAAAGCCAGGGCAGCTCCCACCCCTTTCTCCAGCACATCCGTGAACAAGGGAGCCTTAGACTGATCCTCTGCAACAGTCGATCTAAACCGTTTGGGCCGGCACCGGGTGGGTGTAGCATGGGTAGGACCACTGGGCCAGCTGGAGGTTGGCACCTCGCTCGCAGGAAGCCCCGCAAACGCCGGGTCAAAACTGCTGCCCGTGTTATCTGCCGTGAAGCCACAGAATCAAGTCATTCTCGCTCAGACCAGAGGCACGGCCACCAGCCTGGCATCAAGAGAAGCAAGAGTCCGTAGAGAGCGGCGCCCTCTCTACCCATCTCAAGGGTCCCTCCCACCGCTTTCTCCTCCAGTGCCCTGCCACTGTGCTTTTAACAGCTGTCCCCGAAACGATGCCACCTGTGGAGAAGGCTCTGGGGAGGCCCCCTCCCCTTGCCTGGCTGTGATATGCCATAGACGGAGCCCCAGGGCACTATCCCAGCACACGCGGCAGCACAAGCCGGGAGGGAAGAGGAAGCCCCGTGCAGAGCAGAGGCGAAAACTCTGAAAACAGCCGTCTATAAGAAGGGTCCGTGGAGAACCGTGGGATCTGGCCCAGATTGTCGAACTCCCTGGCAAACCCACTGTTGTTTGCATTTCTAAATGATATTTCTCCTGGAGAAAGCCGGCATTGAAGCATTTCTTCTAAACACAGCTGCTTTTCACCTACAACGAATTTTTGGAATTCAAAAAATAGAAATGAAAACTCTCAAAGGCAGGTGTTTTGAAAGCAACTAACGTTAGTTACGTGACTTTGCAGTGGTTTGTGGCAGGTATAGGGCCTGCAGTGGGTGTGCAAAATTCAACCCTCAGCTCCTGGTCAAGAATCACTGCTTTTGGGGCTTCCCTGGTGGCGCAGTGGTTGAGAATCTCCCTGCCAATGCAGGGGACATGGGTTCACGCCCTGGTCCGGGAAGGTCCCACATGCCGCGGAGCAACTGGGCCCGTGCACCACAACTACTGAACCTGCGCGTCCGGAGCCTGTGCTCCGCAACAAGAGAGGCCGCGATAGTGAGAGGCCCGCGCACCGCGATGAAGAGTGGCCCCCGCTTGCCACAACTAGAGAAAGCCCTCGCACAAAAACGAAGACCCAACACAGCCCAAAATAAATAAATAAATTAAAAAACAAAAACAAAAAACCACAGAAGAATCACTGCTTTCATTTAAAATAAGCAAGCACACCTTTGCAGGACCTGCAGGACATATGTTTCCTTGAAGCGAAGTATAGTGGTAACCAGAGGTCAAGTACGGTGCTGCTAAATATTGCTGATTTCACGGGGCACGTTTTCTGCAGGGATGAATTTCTGAAGGGGGCAATAACAATACGCATGTTCCATACTGAGGCGTAGTTTACATACAATACGATTCACTCTTTCTAGTGTCCACTTCAGCAAGTTTTGATAAGCTCACGCGGTCTTATAACCACCACAGCCGTCAAGATATTGAAGCTCCGTCACCCCCGCAAAATTCCTTTATGCCCCCTTGTTGTCACCTCCAGCCTGGGTAACCGCTGGCCTGTTTTCTGTCCCAATAGTTTTGCCTTTTTCAGAATATCGTTTAAATGGCATCACACAGATGTAGCTTTTGGAGACTGGCTTCTTTCCTTTGGACAATGCATCTGAGATCCATTCATGTTACTGCACGGATCAATAGTTTGTTCTACTTTTATCGGTGAGTAGTATCCCGTTGTACGGATGCACCATAGTTATTTTATCCATTTACCAGCTGGAAGACATTTGAGTTGTTTCCCCTTATCAGTGATTATTAGTCAAACCACCATAAATACTCACGTACAGCCTTTTGTGTGAACGTGTTTTCATGCCTCTTGGGTAAGTATACAGGAGTGGATAGGATTGGATTGTAAGTGTAGGTTTAACTTTAGAGGAACCCATACCTGTTTTGCAAAGTGAAAAACAGGGAAACCGAGCAGAACCCTACAGGGCCTTCCTGGGGACAGATCCCACCCCCTGCCACACGGTGTCCCCTGCCTCTTGTTTGTAGAAAAGCTATAGCCTCCTAGGCCTTCCCCAAGTTCCGAAGAGCAAATGTAATCAGAAATGTGAGAAAATGTGGAAACAAGGGGAAAAGGTCAAGCAACACAAAATAACAATAGTTTAGCCAGAAAACAATGTCAAGGATCCTTAGTTCCTCCTCAAGGGCTATAGGTACTATTCTGAGAGCTGTTTTACAGATACTAAAACCTCCACCAGGTGGAAGTAGTTAACTGCCGACCACCAGCACGTAGACGCCAGACTGGTTGGAACCAGAAGATTGATGATGTTGATTCCCAATTAGCTCACCACCAACCAATCAGAAGAAGGTCCACAAGCTGACCAGGCACCCTGAAGCCCCCTCCCTCACCTTGCTTTAGAGACCCTTCCCTGAAAGCCACTGGGAGTTTGGTTCATTTGAGCATGAGTTGCCTGTTCCCCTCGCTTGGCGCCTGCAATAAATGCTGTGCTTTCCTTCACCACAACGTGATGTCAATAAATTGTCTTTGCTGCACATCAGGTGAGTGGACCCAAGTCTGGTTCAGTAACACCGCAAGCAAACGAGAGTTCCAGTTGCTCCACACTTGCCAACACTTGGTATGAGCAGTCTTTTTCATTTTAGCCATTCTAGTGGGTGTGTTGGTTTCTCATCATGGCTTTATTCGCTAATGATGTTAAGCATTTTTCCATATGTTTATTTACCATCCAAATATCTTCTTTGGTAAGGGATCTCTTCAGATCTTTTGTCAACATTTTTACTGGGCTATTTTTTTATTTGTTAATTGATGGTTTTATTTATTTTTTATGATAAAATTTTTTAAAAATTTTTATTGGGGTATTAGTTGATTTACAACGTTGCATTATTTTCAGGTGTACAGCAAAGTGAATCAGTTAGACATATACATATATCCACTCTTTTCTTTTTCTTAAGATTCTTTTCCCATATAGGCCGTTACAGAGTATTGAGTAGGGTTCCCTGTGCTATACGGCAGGTTCTTATTAGTTATCTATTTTATATATAGTAGTGTGTCTATGTCAATCCCAATCTCCCAATTTATCCCTCTCTCCCCATCCCCTGGTGACCATAAGTTTGTTTTCTACATCCGTGACTCAACTTCTGTGTATGGGTTTTTTTTTTTATTGTCAAGTTTTGAAAGTTTTCTCTGTATTCTAAATATAAATCCCTTTCTGCCGAGTTACTCGCAAATATTTTCTGCCAGCTTGTGGCTTCTCTTTTCATCCTCTTAACGGTGTCTTTCTAAGCTGAGAAGTATTTGATTTTGATGACGTCTAACACAATTTTAAAAATATATCATATCAAAGAAATTGTTGCCCTATCATCACGGTTTTTCTCCTATGTTTTCTTCTACAAGTTTTATAGTCTTTGTTTTTATATTTAAGACAGTGTTCCACCTTAAGTTTTTTAATATGGTGAGACTATGGCTTGAGATTGATTTTTGGCCCGTGGATGTCCAATAATTCCAGCACCTATTATTGAATAGACTCTCCTTTCTCCACTGAACTGCATTTTTACCTTTGTTGAAAATCAACTGACTGTGTATGTGTTGATCTGTTTCTGGGCTCCATTCTGTTCTGTTGATCTGTGTGTCTGCCGTTCTCCAATACCACATGATCTTGATCAGTTTGCCTTTATAGTGAGTCCTAAAGTCAAGTTACGTTGAGTCTTCCACTTCTGTTCTTCTAAAAAATTGTTTTAGCGATTTTAGTTCCTTTGACTTTTCATATGCATGAAAGATTTAGCTTATGGATTCTACATAAACCTTTGCGCAGACCTTCATTGCAGTTGCGATGAAATCTATAGGTCAGTTTGGGGATATCTGACATCTTAATATCTTAGCAGTATTAAGTCTATGAGCATTCTGTCTCTATTCACTCAGGGACTCTTTGATTTCTTTCATCAGTGTTTTATAGTTTTCAGCATACAGATCCTGCACATATTTTGTTAGATTTAACCGTGTTTCACATCTGCATTGTGTTACTGTTAAGTGGTATTACTTTTTAAATTTAAATCTCAAATTTTTCATTGCTAACCTATGGAAATACCATTGCTTTTGTATCCATTGGCCTTGCTAATCTCACTTGTGAGTTCTAGGAGCTTTATTTATAGATATGTGAGATTTTTAAAGTAAAGTTTCATGTCACCTTTTCCTTCTGTGTACCGCTGCTTCCTGGCTCTCCCCGTACTGCATGCTCTGCATGATGCTGGAAGGAAGAGGTGAGGGCAGACATCGCAGCCTTACTCCCAGTCTTGGGAGGAAAGCATTCGGTCTTTCACCATGAAGAAGGCTATTTCCTAATAATAGAGGGGCAAGCAGATATCTCAGCTTGGTTCCCTCAACTAGTCATATTTAGAAAACTAGAATGGAATAAAAAGACATTTAACCTAACTGATCACGTAAATCAAGTTTCTGTTTTTTAGCAGATCACTCCTAGGCTCCCTGGGTCTGTGGTGCACAGAGCCCGCTCCCTCTATGAACACTCACTGTCCACTTCAGGAAAGAAGACAGCAGTGCAAGGGAGTGGATGGTGTGAGGGGCTCAGAGAGCTGCAGTCTCGTGGATTTAATCTGGGCAATTTAATCATATGAAACCTCGACTATTCGACGTGGATCGTAACTTGAGACCATGAGCTCATTAACACCAAAAAGTCTGAGGCATTTTATTTGATTTTGTGTTTATCCTTAAAACCATGCATATTCTTTGACCACTGAATTTTGTCTTTGGAGTGTCATTTAGAAGTGAATCTAATGTTTTGAAGTATTAAAACTTTAAATATGAATGACATAAAACAGGTATATCTGTCTCCAGCTATTTAGAAAAAGTAGAGGCCTTTTGAATGAGTAGATTTTCCTTGCACGGGGGAACTTTAAAGATCGTAAGTGTAATGTTGCTGAAAACAGTTTTGCTGTTGGTTGGCTCACTGGTGCTGCAGAGTGGTTCAAGATAAACGAAGGCATTTAGTATCCAAATTAAAGGGTAACAATCTTTTATGCCTTTTGGATAAGCAAAATTCACCTGAAGGATGGAAGGCATAACACTACCCCATCATCCTTTGAAATTTATCATCGACATGCAATGTTCAAAGTATATTACCAGTGTCTTAGTCCATTCAGGCTGATATAACAAAGTGCCACAGACTGGGTGGCTTAGACAACAAATAGCTATTTCTCACAGTCCTGGAGGCTGGGGGTCCAAGACCAAGGTGCTGGCTGACTTGGTGTCTGGTGAGGACCTTCTTCCCTCCTTCCTGGCATACAGACGGCTTACTTCTCACAGTGTCCCCACATGAGGGAAGGGGTGAGGGGCCTCTCTGCGGTCTCTTCTATAAGGGCACTAATCCCATCCGGGGGGCTCCACCCTCATGACCTCATCACCTCCTAATCACACTGGGGGTCAGGATTTCAATGAATGAATTTTGGGGGGACACAGTCAGTCCAGAACAACCCAAAAGCAGTGGTTTATTTTCTAGATGTGATAGACCTTTAGTAAGCAAGGCTGTACTTCATCTTCCCTGAGAAGACCATCTGTGGTTTCATAAATATTTAGATGCCTATACGTCCGTATCGCAGCAAGACTATTACAAGCCTGGTTTACCGAGTGGGTTTTGCCCAAGAAAAGCCGATGGTTAACACTCGGATTTCCCTTGACGCATTCAGATGGTGCAGGTGGGATCCTGCGCAGCGCTGTCTCCTGCTCTGAGCTGGTGTTTTTGCTATGAAACCCTCAGGAGGGCAGGAGCCTCGCAGCCTACAGGTTCACGGGTGAGCAGGGGGTTGCCTCTTACCTATTTTCTCCACAGGTGTGTTCAGGGGGAGGAAGCCTTGTCTGAGGAGCTGCTCCATCACCTCTTCATCGTCTGCCTGGATTTCAGACACCATGTTACAAGGAATAAGGCCAAGCCGAGCGCAGGTTTCCCCGCGGTAGAATCCATCAGCATCTTTATCCCCGTAAACCTGGAGCCGTGGGAAGAAGTTAAGGCATTGGGATGGGCTGGTTCAGAAATACATCAGCTCTACTCACGGTAGAGTCACACCTAGTCAGAAACAGACCTGAAGGACACTAAAACGACCGGCACGTGGGTGTAAATGTGTACACGTAGCCCTCGCCCTATACATCTCTACCTCTAAGAACCTGTTTCTCCTCCAGGGTTTGGACAGCCCCTGGGCCTCCCATCAGGGAGGGGGGCTGCTAGCTGAGGCCAGGTGATGAGACCCCACCCCACTTAGAAGTGCAAATGGTTCTTCCTTAAGAAGACAGTGCCACTGTCGGATATTCTGGAAGTGAAAAAATCTCAACTAGCAAAGAGATTCTGTGGGTACCATTCTGTGGGGTAAGCATCACCATCCTTTAAAGGCCCCGTTTTATCAGACAAACATTAGGACCACTTTCAAAGGCGAGTTGTCAGTGTCCTTTTGGAAATTTGCAAACTTAGGACTCAAGGCTCTTTCCCCTCTCCCGGGGAGCATCCTGCTTCTTCGTTCCGACTGCAGACTCAGGCCCCCCTCCTCTGCTGAGAGGAAGGGTGAACGTCGAATGCAAAAGAAAGCAGCTTGTCGTGTGATGTGTGAAGGAACTTGGGTCTGGCGAGAGCCCCTCCCCATCCTTCCCCCTTACTCCCCCCCCCCCACCGTGCCCTCCCCATCGCCCCCAGCCATGCCCCCACCTTGATGATCTGCCCTTCTTTAAAGGGAAGCTCCTCTTCCGCAGCATCTGGGTTCGGGGACATGGTGAGGGGATCGTAGTCAAAAAGAGCCACAAAGATCCGAGGCGGGAGCTCTTCCGCCCCAGGGTCCGTCTCCGACTCTTCGTAGAAGTCTGGAGAAAGCCGGTTCCGCCCACCGTACTCATCTGGGAGCATGTGGGATAAAGGACAGGGTGCTAAGCAATTCCCGCGGCCACCCCCCAGCTTTACCCAGAAACGTGAGCTGTTACAGGAAGTGTGGTTTTAGAAACGCCCACACTTTGGGAGGCTGTGGCACTTTAACTTTCGTCTTTTTAAAAAAATGGGTAGCTTGGTATGCAGGCAGAAATGGATCATCTCAACAGAGGTGGGTTTGACAAGCAAATAACTAGCACACAACACAGGCACCAGCATGACCCTAGGTGTGCTGCGCGTGAAGACAGGGGGAGAGATAAAGGACTTTGTATCAAAGACCTCCCTGCAGGGCAGGCCTGAGCGCCAGGGGCGGCAGGCAGGTGGGCGAGCCCTTGGGATTAGGACGCGGCCGCACAGGCCTGTTCAGGGGCCAGAGACCCGGAGCCCCTCTGTGTGTTTCCATAACAGCCAAGCCAGAGTACCTGGACGCTGAAATGCATCTGTGTATTAGTCAAAGTTTGATATAGGTGACCAAGCTGCTCACTTAGCCCCAAATAGCTAAGTGGCAACAAATGCATTACAGCAAATTAATGACTTCCTAGCGGGATTGAGTTTCAAGTCTACCTACCATTGAGCTTCTAAAGAGAATTCTTTTTGAAATCCTAATATATATGCATACGTATTATTAGATATCATGATACATATGCATATATCTCCCTATACATGCATACATTTAAATATAGAGAGAGAATGAACACCTGCTAGTAAATTATACTGTTCTGACCACACAACAGGGGCTCAGAACGCCAGCGTCTTTCCATGAGTGGCTGTGATGTCACGGCACTGTTTCCTCCAGAGAACGTACACTAGAGGCTGTATGAGAATCAGACCTCACGGGGAGAGAACAGTGGGCTCCATGGAATGTGTCCATGGAAATCTGTCTTCGCAGGGACCAAAGTGGGCGACCGAGAGGTCCTTCTCTTTCTTGGTGGCAGGCTAGGCTCAAGGAAGAACTTATCTCCAGCTGCTGGTCTGACCTGGGAGTGGGCGCTCCCCCCTCTGCCCTGATGTGGAATGTCCTGGCCCGGGGTGGGAGGGGGTCTTTGTCAGGAAGGAGGAAGGGTCCGCACGCCATGTGCAAAGCCGGGGCTCATGACTGGCCCCTGTCGGCTCCCGAGGCCACCTGTGCTGCGAATAAGCATCGTCCTTTACAGGTGAACTACTTCCCTCACTACCTGACCAAGGGCACCACTTCCACTGTCACTTCTACGGAGGAAAAGGGGGGTCACCTATGGAACATACTTCATAGCTGCTCATCTTCTCCTTGCAGGGAGACCAGGGAGAAGAGTCTCCTCTCTAGAGGGCCAAGTTTTGTTTCTTTAGTTATTCATTCTCATCTGGACACAGAGAAAATGCGTTCCATTTCCTTTTGCTCTACAAGGTCAGTAGCCAAAATAACGGGAAAATGGGGCGGGGAGGGGGGGGTGGAGACCTGCACAGTCGGTCAGCGAGAACAGAGTCCTCCTGAATGTGGCACTTCGTGTTTAGAATGGTATATGCCCTCGGGCCTTTTCACCTGACAGGTAAATAACTAGATAAATGCAAAGACCAAACATTATAGAGGAAGAAACCAAACCCAGTGAAATCCTCCTTTGGGGTCACTGATCAATGTTATGAGGGCTTCCTTAAGCTAATTATATGATTTAGAACTTATTAGATGTGGAGCCACATAATTTTTATCTTTGTCAATCAGAAGGGGCATTGTAGGAAACCCAGGGTATATTAAAAGTACAGTATATGCTAACTGTGAACGCACTGCCTATTAAAAAATACATTTAGGAAGCATATGGTCTATAGACTTAAGTTCCTCTGAAAAAGAGAATGGATGCTCTTGGAGCACGGCAGGTTTCTAAAGTATTAATCGCTGACATTTGCACAAGAAAAATATAACTGAACAGGTGAAACAGAGCAGGACCCTATGGTCCTTGCCCGCCCCGCCACGTCCTCCGCCTGCCTCCTGTCTGCGGAAAAGCTTTAGCCGAAGAATGAGTTTAATCAGAGAAGTGAGAAAATGCGGAAGCAAAGGAAAACAAAGGAGACCGAATAATAATAGTTCAGTCATTAAGCATAACCGGGGACCTTCAGTTCCTCCTCAAGGGCTATAGATCATATCCCGGGCCGTGTCCTGGGAGCCGTCTTGTAGACACGGAAACCCACACCAGGTGGAGAAGTGAACTACACGATGAGCAGGCTGTAGCCATGACACGAGCTGCCACCATTCCAGGACTGGCCTCGAGGAAATGGGAGCAAACCGACCCTGGAACTGAAGATTAACTGTACCTAAAACCATCAAGATGACGCTGGTCAGACGACCGATGACCAAGTTCAAGATGCCTGTCGGGGCTGCCTGTGCCGGTTCTGCACGGAGCCCCCTCCCCCCGTCTATAAAAGCGCTTGCCCCCGACTGTCGGGGGAGGGGGGAGTCGGCCTTTGGACAGGTGTCCCCCGCCACCACCTGGTTGCCAGCTTCCAAAATAAAGCAAACTTTCCTTTCCACCAACCTGGCCTTTTTATTGGCTTTTGAGCAGCGAGCGGCCAGACCCCACTGCTGGTTACACAGGGACTAGATCTAGGAAAATAGTCTGTTCACACGTCACTGACTGTTCACTTCCTAGGGTTTGGGGCATGAGTCTCTTCTTTTTTGGTAGCTGCTGAACACGATTCACTTTTTTTCTTTTTAAATATATAAATTAATTTATTTTTGGCTGCGTTAGGTCTTCATTGCTGTGCATGGGCTTTCTCTAGTTGCAGCGAGCGGGGGCTACTCTTCGTTGAGGTGTGCAGGCTTCTCATCGCGGTGGCTTCCCTTGTTGTGGAACACGGGCTCTAGGCGTGCGGGCTTCAGTAGCTGTGGCTTGCGGGCTCAGTAGTTGTGGCTCGCGGGCTCTAGAGCGCAGGCTCGGTAGTTGTGGCGCACGGGCTTAGTTGCTCCGCGGCATGTGGGATCTTCCCGGACCAGGGCTCGAACCCGTGTCCCCTGCATCGGCAGGCAGATTCCTAACCACTGCGCCACCAGGGAAGTCCCACCATTCACTTTTGTCTTCTGAAATTATAATAGGTTCTTCAGTCTGTGTATGTATATATGTGTATGAATATATAAAGTATTTGATATTAATTACGCCTTTTACATGATTTCTTGCATGTCTCCATGATGAGAAATCAGGTACAATGAAAGCAACTGTATCACGGATTTATTTAACATGTTTTGAATTCTATTATTAACAAGACTTTTTGGTTAAGCTGTTACCGCAGCACTACTCTGTTTTTGCCAACGTAGCTAGTGTGTTACCGAAATTAAGACACGTGCGCAGTTTTCTGCATTCTCCACCTTAAGACAACACTGACTGAGTGATTGTTAGAGACTCCGATGGGGAGGCTGTGGGTCCGCCGAGGTTTTCCTTTACTCCCTGCCCAGCTGGGAATTTGCAGCACCGTTATTTTCAGCCCTGTAGACTCTCCTTCTCCACCCTAGGAGACCGGAGTAGGAGACCCACGAGACGTCCTGCAGGGCACACCCCTGCTTGGTGCCACGGCATTAACCTGCAGCCATGGGAAGGGTGGCAGTTCACGTGATGAGCATTCACTCATTAAAGTCACAGTCGAACGAGGACTCAGGCACCAAGCTCAACAGGAAGAACAGTCTTGAACTGGTCCCCACCTCGTTCCTCAAGACAGTCAGTCTCGACAAGTCATTTACTCTACAAGCCAGGAGCACCTACCTGACCTCCGTAATTGCTACAGGGGGAATTATACACACATCAAATGAAGCTCTGAGCGATGTGGCAGCGGTTCACAACACTCGAAACCAGGGTGAGCTCAGCACACACAGAACGCTGCTGGTGCGTCTGCATAAGTGAAACCGGCGTTTTCCAGCTGATTTTGTTTATATTTCGGCCTATTTTGCTATTTTTCAGCTAAATGAATACGCTCCATGTTTTCAAAGGTCGGTTAACAGTCTGAAATTTTTTACTGATAAAAATAAAAACATTCTAGGGCTTCCCTGGTGGCGCAGTGGTTGAGAGTCCACCTGCCGATGCAGAGGACGCGGGTTCGTGCCCCGGTCCGGGAAGATCCCACATGCCGCGGAGCGGCTGGGCCCATGAGCCGTGGCCGCTGAGCCTGCGCATCCAGAGCCTGTGCTCCGCAACGGGAGAGGCCACAACGGTGAGAGGCCCGTGTACCGCAAAAAAAAAAAAAAAGAAAAAAAAACAAAAGAAAAACATTCTAAAAACTGTAAAGATGGAAAAGGAAACTTTTGCTTCCCTATTGTTTGGACTCTATGAGGAAGAAACGCCTGAAAGAAGGACAAAACTTCAGGGGATCTGTATTGCTGTATAAAGTCCTTAATTATTTTTGGCTGATGTGAACGATTGTCTTTTAAATCTTAGCTATTTAAATGTGATTGGGGCTGTGTTTTCAGGTGTCTGGACCTCCATGGGTGGTTTTCCTTGAGCCCTGTCTCGCCAGATCAAGATGTTTTGCTCTCATCTACTTCTGTTCCATGAGTGGGTCTCTTGCTTTGTTTCGTGTGTGTGTGTGTGTGTGTGTGTGTTTTCACAGAAAGCTAGTTTATTTGTGCTGATTACCAGATTCCATTATCTTGTGCATAATGCTTTTTGGAATTGTTTTGCCGGGGTTCATTCCAGTAGTAGAAAGATTCCCATCTGACCTTCAGCCACATTCCCCTCTTAGCGGATTGATTAGAATGACTACAATGACAGCTTTCAGCACGGCTGGCTGAATTCCAAAAAGTAATTAAGAGGATGGAATTGGATGCCAGAGGATGACTCATGCACAAGGAGGTGACCAGATGGATGGGGTCAACACACAGGTCAGGGCACACATTCAGGCCTCCTGGCGTTTTTCGTAACTTTCAACCCCAGTTGTCCAAGGGTTTCACGCATACAGATAACTCCCCATTGACTCAGGGCTTGTTTAGATATCTGGAGTTCGGCCACCATCCCCGCCTCTGCTGCTTTGACCATGAGCAACTCACGAGAGCATGACCTAGGAGGTGGGGAGGTGGCCCGTCACCATCTCTTCAGTGAAAAAAGAAAAACTGGTAGGGAGAAGACTGCTGTCAAAAGTCAATATATTTTGAGAATACTTGAATTTCGGTTATATTTATCTTGTGCTGTTTCTGCCTTCTTCTGCCATAAATAACCGAGGGTGTTCTGTATTTAGTTGAAAATGCTATTCCTAATGACTTTTTTTTTTTTTTTTTTTTGGGGGTCCGCAGGCCTCTCCCTGTTGTGGCCTCTCCCGTTGCGGAGCACAGGCTCTGGATGGGCAGGCTCAGCGGCCACGGCCCACGGGCCCAGCCGCTCCGCGGCACGTGGGATCTTCCCGGACGGGAGCACGAACAGGCGCCCAGGGCATCGGCAGGCGGACTCTCAACCACTGCGCCACTAATGACTTTTAAAAAATATTTATATGGAGGACCAAGCAGCCACGTGCTCTGTGCTTAAAAGAAAGAGGGAGGCCTCCATCAGGCCCACTAACCGGCAGACGGGACCATCATTGGCCGGGACCTGTGGCGGCTGGCACTGCCGTGGGGAAACCTCCGGCCCACGTGATCCACCCGATCAGCCCGTCCAGCAGTCACCGGGTTTCCTAAAATCTAAAGACAAAACAACAACACGGTCATAAGGCTTGCCAGCCGTGGGAAGGAAAGAATTGTCAGCCAAATCAACTCAACTTAGAAGCAGAAGCTCTAAAGGCAACTAAACTTAGCTTTTAACTGAAAGGTTAGCTGAATAACCTGGAAGAGGAAAAAGGGCTCACCCCAGGCACCCCGTCTTCTACAGCACAGGTGCTTTGCCGCACACAGGTAGGGGCGAGAGAGCATCCCTCGGGAGGCACCTTTCTGTTGCTGCTACTGCCGCCGAAGCCAAATCTTTTGAACCACAGTGAGAGTGGCTTAAAGACGACTCGTCACACCTTCGGCCCCTCTTTCCTAGTCTCAGCACAGCCCCTCCAGAGACCACAAAAGCGGGGGGGCGGGGGGGGAAACACTGCGTTTCCAAATGTCCCGCTTGGGCAAAGGTGCATGTGAGGTTACCGAAAATTCAAAGACAGAAGTTTCTGCGTGTGATCAGCTTGGACGCTCATGGCAACGTCTTGGCCCTGATCCAAAGACACCAATCACATTCCAGGGCCAACCGGAACGGCCCTCCTTGACGGGTAGGTCTGCCTCCGATTCACACTACAGGTGTGCATCGCATCATATATGAGAATCAAAGCAAAACCTCCAGCTCACTGGTAATTTGAGTCAGGAAGTTTTCAGGGACACAGGGAAGGAACCGGGGTTGGGAGTGACGGAAATTAGTCTGTTACAGGCGGGGGAACAGGGAGTGAGCTGCAGTTTGCTGGTGTCAGTGGGCTGTGGATCGGCGCCCTCTAGTGGACATATCACAAACTGCACCGGCTCAGACCCAGGGCCTGGAGCCCTGGGATGTCTCACCTGTGTTTTCATGGAAAAGTTCAGCGTGACAGGAGCAAGTGTTCTGAAAAGAGGACACAATATAGAGATGAATGAAGCCTTGAAGGAATCCCTACTCTTGAAAACCACTCACAAGCCTGGAAGACAAGGCAGGGGGACGGGTCTAGAGCTGATGATGGAAAAGTCATTCTGAAAACTGGTCGCAGGAAAGAAACGGGGGAAAAAAAAAAAAAGAAAACCTTTGGAAACAGATGCAAAAATGGATCTCTTCAATCACTGTTCCCTATTTTTTTTCAGTTATAGATGAAGGCCCAAACCAACCACAACCAAAAACCAAAACCACAACTAGAGAAAAACCTTCAGTAATACCGGTAAGTCATAAGTAAGTCACCACGGTTCACTTTGCAAAGTATGTGTTGCCAAACTTTTGGAGAATCGTAGTTCAGCTAACCCTTAATTAAAATTTAGATTCAGTTGTCCTTTAATTAAAGCAGCCACACTCATCACTGATTTGGGGGTAGGCGGTCATCATTCTAAAGCAAAGTAAAGAAATCACCAGCGTGCTCCAGACTGGGAAGCTGCACAGATCAAAGATGCATGGAAAATGCAAGAGAGCCAGCAGAGAGCGTGCCCGGGATGGACACCAAAATAAAAGAAGGTGAAAAAATGAAAACGGATTGGTTTGGCAAGCGGATGTGAGCGGGAGGTTTACTTCACACACCAAAGGACCGTCTGCAACCCGGGGAGGAGGCTGGGCGTGTCGGGCACTGGCCCTACTGTCGGACATTTTTATGCTTTTCTTCCAGACATCCCGGAAGTCCTCCTGGCCCGCGGGCTCGCCCCAGCTGCACTTGCTGGGGGTGGACCGCTCCGGGCTCGGGCGGGCCTCACTGCTGCTGACGACATGGCCGGGCTCCGCTGGCTCCCCGACATCTTCTTCGACGCTTATCTGCCGGGTCAGCGTCCGGCGCCGGGCCAGCAGGGGCCTCAGGCTCCTCCTACAGGGACAGTGCCCGAGGCCGGGGCTGCACTGGGCAGCGGGGCTTCTGAAACTAAACCGTATCTCCTCCTCTTCGCTCCCACAGTCCAGGCCGCTGTCCGGGCTCCTGGTGGCCGAGCGGCTGAACCGACAGCCTCTGTCTTCGAACACGAAGTCCTCGGCCTGGGGGCCCCTGGGTCTGGCAGGGACCCGGGAGCCAAGCGGGGCCCCGTGCCCCCTGCAGGGCCTGGCGGGCTTGGGCTCTCTGGCCAGCCGGGTCCGGGCCCTGAAGCCCTGCTTGTACAAGAGCTCACAGGGCTCTCCATCCTCCTCGGCTACTTCGGGGACACTGAAAAGCTCCTTACCGCGCTGGGCCTGCTGGGGACACTCGGGCAGCTCCAAGAAAGCACGTTCAGTGGTCCTATTCCCAGAGCACTCCTTAAGGGGGTGGTGTGTTAGAAGGTGCCGGGAGTCAGGGTGTGATCAGATATGAAGTGGGGCAGAGGGACGGAAAGAAAATACAGACAGAATTAGTCTCCGAGGCCGTGAGGGACAGAAAGCATGCTTGTAGTCGTGGCGGGAGGGGAGCGGGGGAGAGGGCAGATGGCATGCTCTGGCCAGGGCTCTGGAATGAGAACAGAACGGGTTAGACGGACGGGGCCGGAGCAGGTGGGGGTGGGCAGAGCGCACGCAGAGCGGCCTGACGCCCTCAGGACCAGCCATGCAGCCCCAACAAGGGAAGAGTGGCAACTGGGCCGCGGGCGCAGGGAGGATGGTGGCAGGAGGCCTCATGCTGACCGAGGCACTAGGATCTGTGACGCGGCTACACCCAGAGGCAGGGACGTCTGAGCCCGCTGGCTGCACCTTCAGAAACTCGGAAGGCAGCTGCCGTGGGCCGCCGGCAACTGGAGATGCTTCACAAAACGGGGACCCCAACCCGGCCACGCCACTGGACTCTGCACGTTCATCTAAGCTCTCAGCAGCCTCTGAAATCTGTCCTCGTGCGCGGTCACCTACGGCCTCTCTCCCTGGCTCAGATCTCAGGCTGTGAACGCGGGGACCTCGGCACCGGGCACCCCGAAGTCACGGCTCTGGGGACGGTCTTGCTCTGTCCGTGTCTGCAAAGGCTGCCTGTCTCTCTGCCAGACCCCGGACCTCGAGGCCCCCAGCGAGGAGCCGCGTCCCCGCCAGTATGGTGGCTGGCCCACCCAGAGGGGCCTAATGGACATCGAGGGGCGGACACCCCACGGCCCCCGTCCCGGATATGGGTCTCTCTCCGGATTTGCCCTCAGCCCCCTCCTCTGGTCCCGCTGAACCGGCCCGCTGGGCGCCCCTCCCGGGACACTCCAGCGACTCCACGAAGCCGTAAGCCCACCGTCTGCCCCGCCACGGGCCTCCGGGGGTGCGCGTTAAAGACGCCTCCGCGGGGGAGCATCGGATTTGCTTCCCTGCCCCCTAGCCCACCGGCCTGTGCGCCCCTCGCGCACGGGGACCTGGCGGGGTCGACCCAGGGCCGCGTCTGCCGCGGGTCTGGAGCCCACGAGGGCCAGGCGAGGAGGGCGTGGCACACGCTTCGCTCATTTGCTCACGAGCACCCCACGGAGGCCGTCTACTCCGGGGAACACGGAGGTGGAGAGGGAGAGCGAGGAAGCAGCGACCCAGCCCCGGGCGCCAAGCGGGGCGCACGTGAGCCAACGGGGCTGCCACGTGGGAAGGTGAGCCCGCGGGCCGGATCCCCAAGCTAAGTCTTGGAATTTCTGAAAAGAAACCAGAAGTCCAGATCGCTGAACTTGCCCTCTGGGCCTCCTCCCCGGGAGACACGGTGACCTTTGGTTTCTCTGCTAACGCGGCGCAGGAAGTACCATCCCAGAAGCGTCATGGGGGAGGAAGGGGAGGGGAAGCAGACACGCTTCGCCGGCCCAGCTCGTGGGGAAGCATGGGGAGCGGGTCAGGCTGCACCGCGGGCAGCCTGGGACCTTCCTCCGCCAAGAAACGTCACGGTGAATCCTGCTGGACGGCGGCCCGGGGCGGGGAGGAGGGGGGCCGGTGGGGGGAGCAGGAGCTGCAGCCGCGCGGGGTTTGCACAGGCATCTTTAGGTTCTCCAGCGACAGCGTCTCCGGGGCCCTGCGGGGGGCCTCTGCGGGGAGCTCGTCAGGCAGCCTGGTCTATGCAAGCGGGCACTGAGCGGGCCGTCAGATCTGGGTGTTGCCTTCCGTCCACCATTCAAAATGCGTGGCTCTGTGTTCCCAGAGGAAGGCCGGGGTCGGGCGCGGTTTTTCTCTCCGAGGCCTTTTTCACGTGAAAACCCCACAGCGGCCCGACCAGCTCTCCGGCCCTTTGTGTGTCTCCCGCGCTGGGCTGGGAGCAGCTGGAGGTCGGAGGTCACGTCCATCCTCATACCCCAGCCTGGCGGAGGGCCTGGCGCACAGGGGCGACCAGCTCTTGCCGAGTGAACAGATGCTCGTCTGGAACGGGCTGCGGCAGCAGCAGGACGGCTCCTGGTGCGTCCTGGGGCCTGGAGCGCGATCTCGGTCAAGGTGACCCCCCGTCAAACCCTTGGCTGACGGCTACGCCAGAGGCAGAAGCAGAGGGTGCCGGGGCCCCAGGTGGGGGGTGTCTGAGAAGGGGCTGGTGTGTGGACCCCGCTGTCCTCCAGGAGGGAGGACCCTCGTCTGACCTCCTCTGACAGCCCCTCTCCCTGGCCCTCCCGCGGTCCAGCAGCGTCCACCTCGGTTGAGAATCTTTGCGCGACTCGCTCCCAGTCTCCAGTCTGCCTCGGAGGCGGACTCGCGCCCTCCCAGCCCCTGCCCCTCTGCGGATGGCCACGGAAGCCAGGGCTTTGGCAGGGCGGGAATCTTCCTTGTTCTCTTCTTTCCGATTCAGTTCTTGGTGCAGAGCTGGGTGCCCCTGGGGGTGCCCAGTGGATTCTCCCAGACTCCTTCACCCAGAATTTGGGGAAAGAGGAGGGACAGGAGACCCCGAGCGCAGACTCAACAGTGAGCGAAGCCCGTGCGAACCTGTGGGCTCTGCTTGCAGGGCCAGGTGCTGCCTCTGGAGCCAGCCTCGTGGCCTGGCAAAGGGACAGGGATGGGGCGGCTGTGGGGACGGCGGGGAGGGGCCCGGCGCCCCGGCACTGACCTTGAGGGCACTGCGGGCCGCGCCGCCGGGCCGCCTCCGGGCCGTGTCCTCCAGCTGCATCTCCGAGCAGAGTTCTTCCTCGTCTTCCTCCATGATGTCCGAGAGGTCGGACCCCCGGCTGCTCTCCGTGTGGTACTCGTCTCCATGGCAACAGTGCGGCTGGGCAGGAGAAGGGGATGCAGATGGAGGGGCAGCTCCAGCACGTGGGAGTACCCAGGGCCCCTCCTGGCTGGCCCTCCCCTGCTCTGTCCAGTTCTGAGCTCAGAGTCGTGTCTGGGTGTCTGGGTGAGAGGCGCTCACCCCAGAGGTGAGGGAACCACAGTCCCCAAGCCCGCGGCGAGCCGGGATGGCAGACAGAGGACCAGCCCAGGCCCTCCAACTCTAAATCCGGACGGGGGCAGGCAGAGACCCCTTGGGCTCTTGGCAGGACAGAATGCCAGGGGGCTCACAAGACACACAGGAAAACATTGCTTTTCTGGGTACTGTCAGCCTCTCTAACTTAGTGGCTGGACAAAGGCTCAAGCGACAGGTCGTAAACTCAGGTGGCAGCATGACTCGAGGCCCCCCGTGAGCGTGTACGTTGCATCTAGGGTCAGGGAGCAGAGAGTCCTGGGTGGCAGGCAAGTGGGTGCAAATGCACCATTAAGGGCGCCTAAGAGTTTTAAGAAAATCGTGCCGTCTGAAATTCACACACGTGCACACACTGGGTTGTGAAAGAACAGCCCAGCCCGGGCGGGGATGGGACCCCCCGCTGTGTGGTATGACCACTCTGTACCCAGTTTGGCCACTGGCACCGGAGAAGGCCCGCTGCTGGGGGTGCTTGGGGAGGAGTCTGGGGACGGCGGAGAAGGGCCAACAGAAAAGCAAGGAAAAGTAGCTTGCTAACATGTAAACTGAACCACCAGCAGCCCTGATGGGGTCTGGGGATTTGGGGGCTGGTCCAATTCAGCGGTCCCGTTCCCACCCTCAAAGCAAGCGCCCCATTATTCAGCGTCTCGAGTATTTGCAGCAACTCAAACTGCACACCCTACGAGCTCAGATTTATGAGCCCCAAACATGCATAAAGCTATTTTGTTTCTGCTGGATGGCGTCCATTAAGAGCAATTTCTTTATTCTCCTGGTGGGCGACCACACAAGTGCCTTTAATAGCATCTCGAGACGTTTATTAAAAATACCCCAGTTTCAATCACTCCTCTAGATAAAGACGTGTCAGCACCTGAGTGGCACTAAGTTCCTGGCCCGCTGATGGGAGGGCAGCGTGAGTGCCCAGGCTGGGGGTCCCGACCCAGCCGAGCCCTCAGAGAAGTGGCCCAGATGCTCTGAGCCTGAGAAGTCTGTGTGTCAGCATTTGAGCTGCTCCAGCCCTAATTCTTTCAATCAGGCACTGCAGAGAGGACGTAAAAGTGAACTGATTTTAAATGAATAAACAAAGATCAGGTTGGTTTGAAACAGGTCTCCCCAAGGCAAATGGGAAGGAACTCTCCTCGAGAACACAATCTCACTGGATTCAAACCCAATGATGAGTTAGTAATAAACCCATGGGATGGAAGGAGGTGTCTGCTGTTTGCCAAATACATCATGGATAAGCCATTCATAGGACTCCTATTCCTCTCTTCTGCCCAGTGAGATGTCACGGGGAGTCTTGATGGAGCTTCTGGAAAAGATTTTTCTACCAGTTAAAAGAGATGTGCCTGAGAAGAAAGCCCCCCTCCTTTTTCCCTTCCCTCCCTCCCTCCCTTCCTCCCTTCATTCCTTCCTTCTTGGGGTGCTGTCATATGAAAGTGTGATGACTGGAGCAATGGCAGCCACTTTGTAACCATGAGAGAAAGGCTAAAAGAATGGAAGATTCAGAACCTAGAGCCAGGACACCACTGAGCAGCTGAATCAACCTTGCAGCCTCCTACCTGAGACTTCCTGCGATGTGGGAGAATGAAATGTCTTTGTTATCTTAGTCACTATTAGTTGGGCATTCTATTTCTTGTGTTTAAATGAATGCAGACAGAATTACTTTAATCTTTTAGATAAAGAACCTGATGGTTGGAGAAGCTGAGTCACTTGCCTCCTACTAGCAGTGACAGAGCCAGGAAATGAGTCCAAGTCTGTGAGATTCCAAGGCCTCTTCCTGGCTAGGTTGTGACACTGCCTTGCTGCAGAGCTGTGTGTTGAGGGGGCTGGAGGATCTGACATCTGAGGGGTCTTCAAGCTCTGACATCTCAAGATCTCAGGACTCTCCAGGCCCCACTCTTCCTGTTGCCCAGACTTAGGTCTTGACACCATTAAAGGACATAATCGGAAATTGGAGACCAAACCCACATTGGATGGATTTGTCACTTGTGAGCCCGGTCTGGGACAAGAAGCCCTGACATTTTTGTCCCTCCAAGGGTGGGATGCTGACCGTTTAATTTCTGAATCTCCCATGATGCTTAGCACTTAGCAGACGCTCATCACACATCTGCCTGACGAACGAAAGTAAAGAAACGAACGGTAGGTTTTGCCTAAACTGAGACCAGGCGGTTACCTGGAGACTCACCTGAAACACAAAATCAGCCCATGAACGGATACTCACACAGGGCAGTCAGGGAGGGCAAAAACCTCACATTCTGACTTTTGAAACTGTCCCCCAGTGAGGTCACAAATGCGCAGGCACTGTGCAATCTAAACTTTCCAATGGACTGTGACTGTTGTCACCCGGGACTTGGGGCCGTGCACCCAGGAGCTGCACTCACCGGCTTGCCTAGCTCCGAGCCTTTCAGAAACTCGTCCACCGACGCGCCCCTCCTCTTGGCGTCGGGGGACTCGTAGCTGTCTTCCTCGTCCGAGTTTGCGTACTGCCCACTGCTCCTGTCCAGGAAGACGCTCCTTTTCTCTAGCTTGGAAGAGAAGAGGGGAGGTGTCAGGGCAGAGGCCGCCTGGCCCTGGGGGCCAGGCCCCACAGGGCTCCATCCTTTCCTCTGCCTCCTCGGAGCCACTGTGTGAAGGGACTTGGGGTGAGTGACCCGCACAGGCTGGCGGGCGTTTTCTGATGCTGCCCTGGGTGCCCGCCGCCCCTCCCATGCCCACCACAACTAGCTCCTGCCTTTGCAGGACGTAATGCGTGGGTGCTGAGGAAAGGCTCCTCTCCCTCTGTTTGCCACCCTGGCCCGGCTGTTAATGTGATCAGTTAACCTTTTCTTGAGTATGGAAGCTCAGAGGTTTGCTTTCTCTCCACACCTTCTGAAAGGGGAAGGCAGGCCGGGGGGAGGTGGGGAGGTGGCGGCTGTCCCAGGCATTCCTGGGCCCAGCCTCTGGCTCCAGCCCGCTCTCGGGGGTCCTGTCTGGGAGCTCAGGGTGGTGGGATGCGTGGCTGCTACCCGAGAAGGCGGGGAGTGGGGTGCAGAGCTCCCCCCCCCAGCCCCTTCCTACACCAAAGCACCTGGGCTTCTGCTTTGCGGGACATCAGGGCGGAGTGCCAGGGTGCCCGTAATAAATGTCCACATTCTGAGGCATTTCCTTTAGTCAAGGGTACAAACTGCTGTGTAACTATTAACAAATCGGGAGATTCCACAAAAAGCCTGGATTTCCAGTTTCTCAACAGGCACTGAAGTGCTGTCACGGTACCTCTTACCCCTCCCTGTTGCCTGGCCGTGGCCCGCCTACCTCAGCTCTGACCTCTAGGGGTCTGGCCTCTCCTCAAGTTCCTGACCCAGCCTCCAGCCCGGAGGGGGCCTGGCCCAGACCCTGGGATGCCCAGGAAGTGAGGGTCTCCCGGCATCGGCATGGATGTCTCCACCTGCATCTCAGAGAAGGCACTGCCAGGGGCTGCCGTCCTGGAGAGACCCCCGTGGGCTGACTGGGCAGAGGTGAGAAGACCACCGACCACCACTGTCCCCTCTGCCAGGGCCCTAACCTCGGGCTTGCAGCGGACAAGCTGGGCGCCCTGGTAGACAAACGCGCCCAAGGGAGAAAGACGGGGCTTTGGCCCAGGCAGGGAGGGGCCCGCGGCCTAGCCCAGGTCCACACCGTCCTCTCCGGCATCACCTCACGGCTGCTTCTTACAATGTCTCGGCTCATTGCACGTTTCCTCTGGGCCGTGGCCACACGGTCATGCGAGTACTCATCCCCACGGCCCAGGCGATTTCTAGCGATAGGCATGCAAATATATTTACGTGCATGCATTTCTATGTGTAGGTATCTATGTATACATACGTGTATATAAATGTGTGCGTGCATGTATGTATGTACACACACGTACGTACATATGTCTATCCGTGTGTATACACACACACACAGGCACATACCCACACACGCAAACACACACACACACAGCTAGGAGTCTGAAGTGAGCCAGCCAGGAGGTGACCCTCGTTTAGGAAGATGTGCCCCAAGCCCACTCCCAGGAGGCACCTCTCAGATCCCTGGACACAGACCAGTGCCTGGTTAGCGGGTTGTTAGCTCGTCTGCTAAGCCAGGCTGGCGGATAACCCTTTCCTCTGGTTATCTGGGTCTGTATCTACGCAATGGAAACACACGTTGATTCCGACAGGCTCAGGCCTGGAATGCCCTGGAATGCAGCCCTAGGGGAAAACTGGCGGATGAACACGGCATCCTTCTCCTCACGTCAAGGCCCCCACTCTGGGTGCTGAGTGTTCGGGGCGCGTCTCCCCGCCGACTCGGGGTGCCGATGGAAGGTCCCATCCCCGCTGGGCAGCAGGGACGGACCGCAGGGCACGGGCAGCGGTACCGGCGAGGAAACGCCCAGCCTTACCCTGCTGCTCTCAGCCACCCTCTGCGCGGCTTCCCGGGCCATGGCCTTGGCGACGGAGGTGGAGACCGGGGCGCCCTGCGGCTGCGGAAGGATGCGGCTGGGCGAGGGCGACCGCCGCCCCGGGCCCGAGCCCTGCAGGCCGGGCGGCTCCAGCAGGTGCCCGTGGGCCGGAGCAGGCGCCCGGCCGAGCTCCCAGGCCTCGTGCGCCGCGGCGTGCGGACCCAGGTGTTCATCTTTGGTATCGGGGGCTCCGGCACTTGCTAATGGCTTCGGTGTGGGAGCAGTTCTCAGGTGGGGGGCAGGAGGCACCAGGAGGTCGGGGGGGATGGCAGCGGCGGCAGAGTCTACGGACTCGCCCTGGGCGGAGAGGGTCCGCACGGTCACACCCTTGGCTTCGAGGCTCCGCAGCCGCACCAGCTCCACGGCCGTGCTGTCCGCCGTGGGAGAGATGATCTCAGCCACCTGCGCGCAGAGAGAGCGGGGTCAGGGGTCAGGGGTCAGGGGTCGCCCGGGCGCCTCTCCAGCAGCCAGGGCTCTGGGCCCCGCCTACATCCAGCTCAAACCACACCGCCCGGCCCGGAAACCTCACTAGGCGGCAGCCCCGCCTCCCGCCCGCCGGTGGAGGCCTGCGGGCACCGCTGAGCACACCCTCTTCTTCCGCGTCCACAGCCAATCCGGGAGCAGACGCGGGGGCCGTAGAGCAATCAGAACGCCGGGCGTGTTACTGCCAAAGCGTGGCCCCAGGGAGGTGCCGGCAGAGGCCAAAACGGGCTTCCGGCCGTGGTGGACACGTGGCTGCGGCCCCTCCGGGCCCTGCCTGCTGGGCTTCTGCGGGGAGCGGGGAGGAGAGAGGGCCGTGCAGCGGCCGCTCTCACGGGGCGAGCTGGGACACCGCCCCGCGTCTGATGCAGCAGCCCTGGCCCTGGGGCTGCGGGGAACACGGTGGGGAGTGGAGGGCAGGCAGAAGCTTGCTCCAGCCCCGCCTCCCAAGGGCAGCCGTGTCTGCTTCCTGTGCCCGGACCTGCTGGGGCTTGAGATTGCGGGCTCCCCTACAGCGGGCATTAACACTTCCCTGCAGCGTTTCCGGGGCATTTGGACCACCGTCTCGCCAAGAATCGGTTTGGTGGAATCTACTGAGTGGGCCCTGATATCGTGGGGCTCGAAAGATGTGAATTTTTGGTACCCAGGGGAGAACAAGAAAGGTCCGGGGCAGGACAGGTAGTCACTGCGGGAGGAGAGCAGAGAGCACTCTGGGAAGGAGGACGGCGCAAAAAGGATGGAATTCTCCGTGTCCCGCAGCCGAGCCCGGGATGGCGGCGCAGGGGGTGCTTAAGTAGCTGCTGGTGGGTCTTGGGGGCTGAGGAGAGAGGGAGAGTCGCGCGTCACTGAGCGGACAGTGCTGGGGTCTCTGGGGCGAGCACCGCCGCCGCAAGGACTCACCCTCTGCCCTTTGGCATACACGCCGTAGCCGGTGACGTTGGCTCCATTGGACAGCCCCGTGGCCGTCAGCACGGGCGGCTTCCAGGAGACCTGGACAGTGGCTGGGGTGGCCGCGGCCTGGACGGCAATGTCCTGGGGAGGGGCGGGAGGACCTGGGGGACAGAGCAGAGGAGCTTTCAGGACGCGGCCCTCTGGCAGAAGAGCTGCTACCACGCCCGGCTGGGGGCGCCCGGAAACGAGATCTTCTGTCAAAGCCTCCAGGGGTCGCGGGCAGAATATGAAGCGTGAAAGCAGGGCAGGAGGGTGAGGAGGTGGCAGCTACCGGACACGCGCGGTGCCCTCCTGGAACCCCGCTCACGGGTGCCCCGTCCCCAGGGGAGCCCGTGACCCGGGCCAGGCCAGCCGGCCACGAGGACCCAGCGTTTGGCAGAGGAAAGAAATCCCTGCCGCCTCTCCATCCTCTTCCGCGCCCCTCCTCCCTCCGCCTTCCCTCTGTCCCTCCGTCTCTCTCTTCATCAGACTTGGGGGCAGTGAGCTGGACCGCACATCCCCCGTCTCACCGCCTTGCGGGACAGGACGGAACCAGAAGCTGGAGAGAGACGGTTCTGATGAAGCCACCCGGCCCTGGACACTGGCTCTGCACACACACTGCCCGGCTGACCAGCTGGGCCGCTTCCTTTGCCCCCGAACCCGTTTGAATCGCGCTCACCATGGAAGTCTTGAGCAGCTACTTCAACCAACAAGGAGGCCAGGGTCATGTCGCTGGTCCTTCCAGGTGGCTCTTGGGGACAGCAGGACCGCCTGTCTGCCCTGTAACCCACAGGCAGCTCCTTTTCCCCCGGGTCTGTCTGGTGCAAAACCCCCATAACTAGCGTTCTATTTGGAAAGGAACGTGTAACTTTCCGGAGGAAGGTATGAGCTTCATCCTCCAAGATGCGGCTCCGGCCCGTGGATTTCTGTGTGGGGGGCAGTGGCTGTTTGCTGAGGGTTTTCTACGCGCAGCTCATTCTGCTACTCACTTTGGACTCTTTACATCACTTGATCCGCACAACAGTCCTGTGAATTCAGCGCATCCTTGTTTTGCAAATGAGGAAGGTAAGGTTCGAGGGCAGCTGCTCGGCTATTGTGTGTTGGAAGCGCGGGCCTGCAGCTCAGTGCAGCTCCTGAGTAGGGCTGATGCAAGCCACCCTCAACACACTGCAATATGGGGCTTCTGAACTTCCCTACAACCGGCTTCAGAAGTTAAATTCTACCTGGACGGTCCATTCAAACATGACAGATGGGTCATTATTCTTAAGGGCGAAGGTCAAGAACTGAAACTGGCTTGGGAGTCTGCTGGGTGCTCACTTCTACCACGAGAGCAATGACAGCGGAGGGCCGGGGTTTTGTGGGTGGGGAAGACTTGTGTAGCTGTGATCTGCCAGCTCCAGCCCATCCCTCCAGTGGCTGAGAGGTGAGGGGGGTCACACTGACGTCCATCACGTGGGGACACCTGGTCCAGCCACGTGCCCGACGACGAGCTCACGCTGAACGAGGTTCAGGGGCTGCCCTCCCCATGCCTCTCACTTGTGACATTTCCACAGTCCAAATTCTCCTCTGCCCGGACAGGCAAAGGCACTAGTCCGCTGTGGACTGCACGTCCCCCCCAAATTCGTATCTTGTACTCCTAACCCCCAAGGTGATGGTGCTTGGAGGAGGGGCCTGTGGGAGGTGATCAGGTCATGAGGGGGGAGCCCCCATGAGCGGGATTCGTGCCCTTATCAACAAGGCCCCAGAGAGCTCCCTCACCCCATCCTCCAGGTGAGGACACAGTGTCTTCACCGTCTAGGAGCCAGGAAGTGGGCCTCGCCAGACACTGAGTCTGCCCACGCCTTATCTTGGACTTCCAGCCTCCAGGACTGTGAGAAATAAATGCGTGTTGTTCATAGGCCGCTCAGTTTACGGCATTTCGTTACATCAGCCGGAGCTGACTAAGACAGCCAGGAATTGGGCGTGAACCTATGGGAACAGGCCCTGGGCTCAGCGTCTTCTCCTGGTCCCTCTCCATCTCAACGTGAGCTTCTCCACGAAGACTCTCCCGGCGGTCCCAACGTACGTGCTCTTGCCTCTCCTCGGAGGCCCTGGGGTCTCTGGGTTTGGTGTCTCTGGTTTCTTCACCCCCCCAGCACTGACCACAAGACTTCACGGCAGGAACCAATGAAAAGCTCAAGTCCTCACTCGCCCAATAGCCACGATTTGACATCCCGATAGGCAGGCAGGAAACCCAGCATCACCTTACGAGATGAATGAACCGACCCTTCATAAATCAGTTCCTACTCAGACCTGCTTCCTCCTCGAAGTAATGTCTGTCCCGCCTGCCCCTGACCTCGCTGCTTTGTAGGTCAGACTCTAGTTGATGATGGAGTTCAAAAAGACTGGAGAGCACCATGGAATAAAAAGCAAATCCAATTAGATGGAGATGGAAGGCTTTCTGCAGTTAGTAGAAATGATCCTGGAGAACCACTGAACTGTTTGTCAACTTGCTGACAAATGAGGTTGGGCAGAGCTGGATTAATTAATCACAGAAGACAAATCCGAGGAGAGTGACAGGCATTTTCAGGGAATTCTGTGAACATCACAGGACTAAAATAAGCCCTCGAGGTATCAAAATATGCCCTCACATATCTTTGCAGACACAACCTTCTTTGCTCCAGGAAGGCTGCTCTTCCCCAGGTGTTCGGGCTCCCATCCTGCGCACAGCTGCCTTACTCAGAAGGGCTGCCCTGTACGTGAGCCCCAGGCGAGATCAGCATGACGGAACCTCATGGAGACGGCAGTGGCGGCTGCCCCGTAGATGATTCGGAGGATGTCCATCTCAACCCATCTCTTTACAGTTTCCTGGGAGAGAGTGGGGGGGCGGATGGGAGAGGGGTGCATTCCTCCTCCTGTTACAGCTGGGAGTGCAGGGAAGGAAGCAGACGGGTGCCTGGAACCCAAGATAGCATCCACAATGGAACTTCATGTCTTCGCAGATTCACCCGTATGTGTGAGATATATATGCGTATATGTGTGTATATCAAAAGGAGACATGAGAAGAGAGAACAATTTTGAGAGCGCTGTGGGCACCCCCTCCATGGTTCCTCTCTGTGAGCGCACGTCCAGGAGTGGGTGACACGGGGAAGACGGAACCCTCCAATTGCCCAGGGTGCTCTCGTTTCCTCCGGTCTTCTGTAGGACGAGCCTCTTACAGACGCAAGCGTTAAATATTTCCAACAACACGGCCCCTGAACAGAATCCAAGTTTTCTCTTTCCCTCTCTCTCACACGCACAGGCGTGCGTGGGTGTATTCCGTGGTCCCCGGCTGATCGAAGGATGCTCCGGGACGGCGCCGGCTGTCGGCAGCGGCTCCCCTTCCGCTCCCCCCGCCCCTCCCCTTGCACAGGGTGACATCCCGGTGTCCCCTCCCTTGGGGACTACCTCCTCCCCGACCCCCCACCCCGGGAGGACAGCTCACCTGCCGGCAGCGTGGAGAACTCCACAAAGGCCTCCTTCCTCTCCCTCTGCTCCAGGGGCAGTTGCCAGGGCACCTGGTGGGGCTTGGCCAGGACCTTCACCTTGTAAGCCGCATTGGGCCTGAGGTTGCAGAACTGGTACTTGTAGCTGGCGGCCCGGACGACGTCCAGCTCCTGCTCGTTGAGGAAGATGACATGGCTGTAGTTGCTGTTGGTGGGCATCCAGGAAAGCTGGGCGGAGACCTGCGTGATGTTGTCCACACGCAGGTGGGACGGTGCCACCACCACGTCCTTGCCCACCAGCAGCGTGCAGCGCAGCTCGTCCGAGCTGCCCCGGCTGGTGACGCACTGCACGGAGATGCGGTAGGTGCAGGCTGCCATGTTCAGCTTCTCCACCAGGGCCTTGGTCCTGCCACCCAGCGCCAGGCTCAGGCGCGTCTCTGCGTCCACCAGCACATTGTAGGTGCCCACAGTCCCCCAGCCCGGGGGCACCGCCGGGGGCTCCCAGCCCACAATGACACTTTTGGCAAGTTGTTTGATGAGGGTGATTTTCCGAGGGTAAGGCACGATGTCTTCTCCGATGTCATCGATGTTCGTGTCCAGCGTCCCCGCCCCGTGGTCGGAGGGGCCGGAGTCCGTGTGCGTCGGGGAGTGGAGGTCCAGGATGCGCTCCCCCTCCGAGCCGACGCCGGCATGGTTGATGAAGTTCTGATCCTGGTCTTTCCCCAGAGTGCCTGCCAGTCGAGACTCGTCCTGGACAAAATCCACGAAGTTGGAGGGCACCAGGCCCCTCTGCCCGTCCAGTAGCTCGCCTGTGGGGTACGAGGACAGGGTTACTGCCCAACTGTCCCATGGGGGCCCAAGGGCCTGCAGTGGAGTCTGCGCCTCCCCGCAAGGGGACTGCTGTACGGAAAGCAGCAGGGTCACAGTGGATTCCTCAGCCCTTTACAGGAATCGCTCCAGCATCACCTCTTCGGGACCCCCGCCCCTGCGTCAGCACCCCCCAACCTGCCATCTGCCACCCCACCAGTGAGGCTGGCTTCCCCCATAGCGCCCAGCACACCGCGGCCAGCCACCCGCCTATGTGTGTCAACGCCCCCCTTCCAACAGGGACGAAGCTCTGGGAGGACGGGGAACTCTGTTCCCTGCTAGACCTACAGGGACGCCTGGTACAGAGTAGGTGCTCAGTAAGAGTCTGTCAGAAGGACAAACAACATGCAAACTGCATGGGTTTGGAGGCTAAGAAAATTACACACCTTACTCTGATTTTTGATTAGGTGATCACACAAACAGGAATTAAAAGGGGAATTTCCCCCCCCCCCCCCCCTTGCCGAGCAATGTGTCTGTCTTGGCGAAATTCCCGACATGTGTCCGTTTGGTGAGAGACGATCAATTTGGTCCCAGAACCACCTGGAGGCTGAGTGGCCCAAAAAATGCCACCAAACTAGCTCTCGTGGCTGCGGGCAGTCACAGCGGGGACCATTTTTTATTTCATGAAATGGTCTAATTTCTTTGCGTTCTCTTTATTCGTGGGGCTCAGAAGCCTGCTGAGAGCAGAGCCGTGGAAAACTGAGAAGCGTTCGGAGGAGCTTCAGAGATGACACAGTTTGGGTGATCTCGCGACGCCAGCGGGAAAGGGCTGTTTCCCCTGGCGCGTCGCAGAAAGGGCTTGACTGGGGGTCCGGGGACCCGGGAGGCTGGGCAGCGTGGAACGAAGGATGGGGTCTGTTCCCAGTAGACACACGCACACGTCAAGGGACGTGCGACGGGCCCGGGCGAGAGGGATGCTGACCACTGAGTCAGTCCCGAGTCTCCCAGGATCAATGAGGATCTCTGTTTCTGCTCCTGTCCCCACCTAGGGGGCAGGTCTTGAGATGTCAGTCTTTGCCTCGAGGATGCTCAGAAAACACAGTGTCATTTGACACAGGGAACGCCGAGAAGGAGGAGGATGGGAGTGACAGCAAGTCCTATGTCCCAGGCCGCATCCTCAGACCCCACGTCTGCTTCCTCATTTATCGCCACAGCCGCCCCTTAAGGTGGCCACCGCGACCATCTGCATAGAGAGGGGAGGTGAGCTTGCCACTGTCACGTGGACAACGGAATGCTGAACTCTGCCGCCTGCCTTTCATCCGGCCTCTGGAAAGTCTATGTGGGCACGGTGCCTGGCACAAATACTCTAGAGAATTCCAACGAGGGTTACCTGGCAGCCGCCTTGGACACACAGTTCTCCCCTGGTGCGCACATCGGTGACGGCAATGTGGATTTGTGTTAAGAGTTCAAGCAGCTTTGCCACCAGTTGTGGTGAAATTTCTCGGGAGGCCTACCCACAGCTGTGCCACTGTTTTTCCGGTAACTAATGGAAGCCAAGAATTTCAATGACCCCAGGCTTTGGCACCTTCAGAAAAACAGCCCAGGCTGGGCTGCCGCTCACTGACCTCAGCGGAGGCCACCTGATCTCGGGGCCCATCAACCCTAGGACAGGAGTCAAGAGTGTGGCCATCAGCTCCAGGGAAACTCCAGGTGGTCACGCAAGAGAAACTTGCTAGTTTAGCAAGAAACAATTTTTTTCTGCTCAGAAGGACTGGAGGAAACCGAGACCCTTCTGTTAGGGCAATGGGAGAGTTTAGGCAACCGAGGAATCTGGATTTATGAAGCTCCTGGGGATGTCCCGTGTTCATCCTCTAGCTACAAAAGTGACCAAGGTTATGAGTTTTGGGCAGAGGAATTCCCGTTTCCTGATCTCACACTGCCCAAGGTGCAGGAAGTGGTCAGGCAGGACACGGGGCTGGACCACCCTAGGCTAACAACAGAGGCTGAAGGTCAGTGGGATCGCTGTGAACCAGACGGGGTCCCCTGAAAGGGTCCCCGGCCCTGCCTCGGAGGAGGTGCTGGGCTGTAAGAGAGGCGGGGAGGAGAGACCCTCATCTGTCAGCCCCACGTGTCTGCAGGAGCTCCTGGGAAGCTCTGTGGACGTGAACATGAGAAGGTATCCACCCCGTGTCAGAGGGCTGCTTGGGGTTAAAAATAGGAAACCCCACTGAATCAGACAAAAGGGGAACAAACACCTCGTAACTCCCGAGGGCGGGAGGGTCAGAGCAGAGGCTGGGGCGGCCGGGAGTGATGGGCGGCCCGGCCCTGGCCTGGCCTGTGTGCGCCCCCTGCCCGCCACGCTCTCACTGACCTTCATAGAAGCCATCCTCGTCCATGTCTCCATAGACGTAGAGGTACTTCCCCGCCGTGAGGGGCAGCTCAGCCTCTGGGTTCTCATTTGGCCCGTCGAAGGGGTTGTAACTAGAGAGAGAGAGAAAACCCATTCAGTAATGCTCTGGATGGAGACCGGCCCCAGCCCGTCCCTTGCAGAGCTCGGGGCCTCCTCCCTGCTGTCGCCAGGACATTTTAGACCCACACGATGGTTCGGTGCTCGTGGATTGTCAATGCACTGAAAACTCAGGCTATCGGTAGCTCAACTCACACAGATTTCATGCTAAACGGTAGTTCTGGAAGCAAGCCGTACACTGAGTCCTTTGTATCAGATGACATCTAAATGACTCCAAATTATATTTTTAAATAAATTTCCAAATCAGCAAGCAAATAAAGAAGTAATTAATCCTATAATCGTTCAATATATATTATCGATCACAGGTAGAATCACACGACTTATACTCTTTAGTCACCTGCTCACTTTTTACACTTTGCAATATGACATGATTATCTTTCCCCTCATGAAATATTCCATCATATCCTTTTTGATGGCTGTATAATACTCCACTGAAGAGATTAACATGCTTTATTTAACCAATTTCCTATGTTGGGCATTGATATTCCTTCCTAAAGATAAGTCCCTAGGTAGTATATTTGTTTGGCCAAAGACCTGCACATTTTAGAGGTCTTGGGTATGTACAGCCAAAATGTTCTAAAAATGGATGCACATTTTATCTTCCCCTCCCCACTAGGACTGTAAAATGCCCACTTCTCAAATCCTCAAAATATTGGAATTAACATTTTTTTTAAAGTCATGTCCAACTTGCAGATAAAACACGTGAGATGAATTTTTGATTTTCTAAGTAAAGGGTCAGTTAATTTAAAATAACAGGAAAGGACTCAACAAGAAAGTCAAAGTGACATCAGTGATCGTGGGAGATGATCACGTAAACAAAAAGAACAAAGGGTGTCACTCAGTGTCCTGTCACACAAAGGGCGAAGCCGCAGCAGCTCCCCTGGGGGCCAGCAGCCCCGTGAGGTACCAGCAATTTCCTCTGTGTGTTTTATCTGATCCCCACCGACGCTCAGTGAGGAGAGCAGAGATGATATTATTCTCATTCCCAATTCTCATGGCCAGCTGAAGTGCAGTGACTTGTCCAAAGCCACACGCTCATTAGGAGGTGTGGGTGGGAGCAGAACGAAGGTCTCCTGACCCTCACCCTGCGTGGGTTTAACCACACCACGTCGCCCTGTTCCTCGGAGTCCAGAGGTCCAGGGACGCCGTCCAGCGCCCTGAGGGTTTTACTGAGTCAGTGACTGCTGGGGCATCTGCATTGGGATGGAAAGCCAAGCAGACGGATGTAGGATGTGAAAGCCCAGCGGCTGGAGTGAAGCCAAACGTGGTTTCTGGCAGAGGGAATGGCATGTGCAAAGGCCAGGAGGATGGGAGCGGGGTCCCCTCAGCTGCTGGAGAAGGACGGGTGAGGGTAGGAGCGCTGGGGGCCGTGGGTTGGAGGGGCCACATCACTGTGGATTTAACCTCCAGAGCTAATAGCTATCGGGAAGGAGTCGTCACCTACGGAGTGACATGATCGCATTTGCGTTTTGCAGAGGGGTCCCTCTGATGCCGTGTGGATGGGGTCTAGCTGGGCAGGGAGTGTCCTTAGAGGAGATGGAAGGGGGGCTGCCTGGGTATGAGGGCAGGGGAGCAGGGTCCCGGAGGACTCGAAGCTTTCTGGCCTCAGGAGGTGCAGATGTGGGTGCAATTACTGGGCAGGCGCTGGCGGGAGCAGGGCTGGATGCGGGGAGACGGGAGGCCCAGGGGCCAGTTCCAGGCGCCTTACGCTGCCTAGGCTCAGAGAGGCTGTGGCTGCAGGTGGAGCCTGGAGTGGTCCACGTGCAGAAGAGGTCGCCCAAGGGGGGAGGATGGAGCAGGAAGACAGGGGACGGGGCCCAGGCTTCAGGAGGCCGCACATCACTCTCAGGAAGAGAAGTCTCAGCTGGTGGGAAAGAGGGTGGAAGAGGCCAGCATGGGGAGGGGACCGTGGGCACCGAGGGGAACCGTGCACCGACGACGGGGTCCACATCCATCGGGGGTTGACGGATAAAATGCAGTCTCCCCGGGCTTCCCCGGTGGCGCAGTGGTTGAGAGTCCGTCTGCCGATGCAGCGGACGCGGGTTCGTGCCCCGGTCCGGGAGGGTCCCACATGCCGCGGAGCGGCTGGGCCCGTGAGCCATGGCCGCTGAGCCTGCGCGTCCGGAGCCTGTGCTCCGCAACGGGAGAGGCCACAACGGTGAGAGGCCCGCGTACCGCAAAACAAACAAACAAACAAACAAAAAATGCCGTCTCCCCGAAGTCCGCTGTGATCCGGGTATAGAAGGGGACAGAGCTGCAGCGGGTGAGCCTTGATGACACAATGCTAAGACGGGAAGGAAATGTCCAGAACGGGGAACCCACAGTGACTGAAACGTTAGTGGTTATTTGGGGTGGGGATGGAGGGGATGGGCTGACACCTGAAAGGAACGGGGGTCTTGGTAAGCAGACAGGAATGTTCTCAACTTGACAGTGGCAAGGATGGCACGTACTGTGCGTTGCATCTAGAGACCGTCATACAGAGTGAAGTAAGCCAGAAAGAGGAAAACAAATACGGTGTAATGTCGCTTATAAGCGGAATCTAGAAAAACGGTCCAGATGAACTTACTGGCAAAGCAGAAAGAGAGTCACAGATGTAGAGAACAAACTGACGTTGACCAAGGGGGGTCGGGGGGTGGGACGAACTGGGAGATTGGGATGGACGCAGACACACTACGTAAAACAGAGAACTAACAAGGAGCTACTGCAGGGCACGGGGAACTCTGCTCAGTACTCTGTAATGGTCTAATGGGAAAAGATTCTAAAAAAGAGTGGGTACATGTATATGTACAACAGATGCACTTTGCTGGGCAGCAGAAACTAACACAGCATCGCAAATCAACTGCACTCCAATTTAGAAAAATGGGGGGACTGTAAGGTATGTGACTGACCCCTCAGTAAAGCTGTTTAAAAGGAAGGGTGCGGGAGGCCTGCATCGGGTGCCTGCCGCACTTCTGGAAAGGGGCCCCCTGGAGCCTCAGCGAGGCTCGTCCTGCTGTTGGGGGAGGGGACACCGGGCTGAAGAGGGGGCAAGAGATGGGGAAGCAAGGCCGCTCCACAGGCGGCTCCTAGAGCAGAGGTGGGAGGAGGGGACGGGGCCATGGGGAGCAGGGCTTCTCCTGTTTCCAGTTTGGGGAAACTTCAAAGCAGGGTGCTGAGTAAGGACAGTGTTTAGCTCCGGGGGGGAAACGCCCCCAAACTCCCCTTACCTTGGAGCCAGTCCTCCAAGGGTCCGCAGGGTGTTTGGGGAACTCAGATCCGCGCGACTCTGTCTGGGACTATTGTCTGCGCTGCTCACGATGTGGTTTGATTTGGCCGGGCGTCAGGTGGAAAACACCCAGAGCTCCAGCAGAGGATGGCGGTGGGGCTCACCGAGCGCCCTGGCCGCGGCTGGGGACCGCGGTGTCGGCTATACACCGGCTGACCGCCCAGGCTCTCTCTCTGCCTGCTTTCACGCTGGCTGTGGATCCAGACTCTGGGTGCCTCTGCTCTTGGGCACCTTCCCCAGAATAAGGTCTGGTCTCCCCACGAGAGCGGAGGGAGGGCGTGCCCAGGGAGCAGGGGGCCACCGCAGCCTCGAGGGACCAGGCTCATTGCTGGGAAGGGCCCAGCTGGCAAGGGAGACAAACCTGGAAGGCAGATCGGCATCCCGGCCGCGGCCCCAACTGGCCGGCCCGGAGGGCTCTGCCTGAACAGGTGTGCCAGCCCAGCTCCACACACACAAAGGCAGAACCGCCCTCCTACGAGACATGGGGCGGGGCTGAGCTCTCCTTCCTGGGCCCCAGGACTGGCGTCCTCAATGCTCTCTCCAGTGATATGGCGATGTCCCCACGGACCCTATGAAGGATGCAGGCGGGGGCATGGGGGGCGCCCTCCTCAGGGGCCGGCTGGCATCCTCATCCAGCACGCCCCAGCCCAGGGCGGCTACTCCACGGGCTTCCATTATCTGGACGTCAGAAGTGGGTTTGCATTGGTGAAATTAGTGGATCAGCGGAAAATGATCCACGGACAGGCAGCATAGTTATTAGAAACAGTTCTCACTGGAGGAGGCACAAGGCACTGAAGGTGTGCAGACGGGCTCAGAGGAAGCTCACCCCACCTCCTCCACGCGGACAGATTTTAAGGATCTAGTGAGGGAGGCATCCACCCTTGGTGACGGCTCCTGAGGTCTGATTCCTCAACAGCTCTGTGCACAGTCCAGTCCCCTTACGGGGGACTCTGGTTGCCCGTCGCCCACTAAGAGGGCAGTGGCGTCTGCCCCCAGAACACTGCCCTTCCTGCCCGGCCAACCCAGGAGGCAAAGGGTCACTGGGGCATCTGGAAACACAAGAGCCCAGAGGTCCTCACTGAGCATAAAATACAGGAGGTCTGACTGTTTTATGTCTGCTTTTGGTGACTATTTGATTCATCCGTGTCTGCACACCCGGCAAACTCTGGGCATTATAACGCCTGTTGCATTATAACCAGGCAGGGAAGTTGCAGGGAGGCGGCTAACCCTCATCCATCTCAAAGTTTTCAGTGGTAACCACAAAGAATCTGAGGGCCGTGCATGAGCAGCCTGGCTCACGTTGGTGGACACAGACACCCAGGTCCTCCAATGGGAGCTCAGCTCTGCAGCTGTAACAGCTACGTGATGTGGCCCAGGCACCGGGCAGACAGGGACGATGCCGGAAAGGCACCAAGCAGGAGGCTCTGGGCAAGGGGGCCCCTCTTTGAGTTTCAGCTTGCTGCCTGTCATGGAGTGAACTGTGTCCCCCAAAAGAGACGTTCAGGTCCTGGCCCCTGTGGAGGTGAGCTTATTTGGAAATAGGGTCTTTGCAGGTGGGATCAAGTTAAGATGAGGTCATACTGGAGTAGGGTGGGCCCTAATCCAAGGACAGGGGTCCTTATAAAAAGAAGAGGGAACACACAGAGAAGAAGGGCACATGAAGACGGAAGCAGAGATTGGAGCAGGCAGCCTACAGCTGAGGGACGTCAGGGATGCTGACAGTCAGCAGAAGCTGGTCGTCCCCACACCTTGATTTCCCACTTCGGCCTTCCAGAACTGGGAGAGCACGGGTTTTTGCTGTTTTTAAGCCACCCAGTTGGTGACAGTTTTGAATGGCAGCCCTGGGAAACTAACACGCTATCCAAACTCTTTCTATCAGAACAGACAAACCCTTGCCACCCTCCAAAGCCTGGATGAACTGGCTGCTTTCTCTCGGCACCTGGGAAGGGTCCCCTCAGCTCACGGAGCGTTCCCACCCCCATCACCCCACCTGCCCAGAGGCTGCCCGCGCTTCCGGATGCTCAGAGGACGTGGAGAGGACCGTTGCTCTTACCTATAGCGGGCGACACACAAGTGGACCTTCCCCGAGTATCTCTGCTTGGCGGTATTGGAATTCCATTCATTATCCATCTATTGGAGACACAATGGACGTGCAGGTCACTGAAGCTGTAGGCGTCACATTTCATGCCGGAAGCACGCAGGAGATCCCTTCCACGGTCCCCCTGGGCTTTTCAGCCTCAGATGGTGGGACCCCCGTGAGATGCTGCCACACCCGGGCTCTTGGTCTTGGGCGTGACCCAGAGATGGGGGCGGGGTCCCTCCCTTCGGGCTTCTTGGTCACACAGAGGACAGTTATAAAGAACTTGTCTCCCCCAATACTGTATGATACCACTTCTATGTGGAGTCTAAAAAATAACACAAATGGAGGTATACGCACTACAGAAATAGACTCACAGACATAGACGACAATTTTGTGGTTACCAGAATGGGGGAAGAGTTAGGAGTATGGGATCAGCAGATACAAACTACTCTATATAAAATAGATAAGCAACAGGATTTACTGTACAGCAGTAAATTGAACTACAGCCATTGCCTTGTAATAACTTATAATGGAGTATAATCTGCAAAAATACTGAATCACTATGCTGACACTGACACAGTATGGTAAATCAACTATACTTCAATAAAAATTGATTAATTAAAAGCTACTTTTAAAAAGACCTCATCTTCCCACACCCAGATTGGACTCAAGGTAAGGACCATCCCCCAACATAATTTAAGGCCTGAGACGTCACTGCCCCAGACCCTGCCAGGCTCCTCGGAGGACACATTTAGGTAATGCTTTGTGCCCTCAGCCCTCAAGGGCTCAGTGCAGGGAGGGGAGCACGCACGCGTGGATGGTGCCCGGTGCCCCCGGGAATCCTGATCAGAAAAAGGGACACGGGGGCTGCTTCCTCCCGATACCCCCCCCGCCCCGCCCCGCTCCTCTCTGGGGCCCGAGTCTGCCGCCACCGGGACGCTGCCTATAGGGGTTTCCTTACACCGGCTACAACTGTCTTGGGGTTGGGGAGGGAGGAAAGGGCACCAGGGGAGGGTGGGAGTGACCATGAACCCCGCCCACCCCGGGAGAAGAGGGCCCGGTCCCTCCTGACACTCCCGCACCGGGGAGAGGGCTCTCCTGGGGGTTACAGCACGGCACTCCCCGTCTCAGGGCCTTCAGTGGTTCCCCCTGGACTTGGACCAAAAGTCGAGAGCTTCCCTGAGGCCTCAAGCCCCCTCCCCAGCTCCCAGATCCTCTCCAGCCCCAGTGGGCTTCCCCTGGGCTCCTTCTCACGGATAAACAGACCACGAGTGGCCAAGAAGGGCCGCCCTGTCCTTCACCTCATCCCTCCGGGTCACCGGCTTGTTGGGTACACGACACTCGCTGTTACCCGACTTTTGGTGTTGACTTACTTATGGTCATTCAGCCCATGAGAGCAGGGACACTCCCGCCCCCGTCTGTAAACTGGGGCCACACGTCCTGGCACATAGTAGGTGCTCAATGAATGGGGGTGAAGGCAAGAGCAAGGGGGGCTGGGGAGAGAGGGGGAGGGCTGCCAACACCCACAGCCCGCATCACGGCGCAGTGGGGCAGCTGCCTCAGCCAGGACAGGACTCACGTCGGATTCAAATCTGCATCTTGGGCCACCAGACCTTGACAGAAAGGTGGGCTTGATGGACAGAGGTTCTGGCTTGTCACCCGGGAGCGGGAGGGGCCGGATAGATTCACCGATCACAGTGCGGCTTCCAGTGGAGCTTTCCTGACCTGGACACCAACATCGGAGCAATTTGAGAGGAGACACCAAGGAAATAATCAAAGTGCACTGGTCATTTGCCCTCCCTGTGGGTCTTTCCCTGTCTTTGGCATCAGTCTTGGACTTTTATTTTGGGACCCACCCATCTCCCACTCTTCATCTACACCCCCGGCTCTGGGCTGTCCATCCAGCAGAGTCCACGCCTGGCTACACCAATTGTTTGGTGGAGATGGTGGTGTTACACAGGAGATGGGAAGGTCCAATCAGAGAGAACTTCGTGGGAGTCATGGGCAAAGAGGCTCTCCTTTTCTCTGGCTTAAAATGGAGAGGAGATGAGACTCAGTGATACTGCAGCCACATTGCCACCAGGAGGAGGAAAGTCTGTCTGAGAATGGAGACTGCTTGTAGAAAGAGGAGCTGGAAGACGGAGAGGGAGGAACTGGATCCAGGTGGCATGGCTGGAGCCCCTGAATCCAGCTGTACCTGAGGCTAAACCTAGGCTCTTCACCTACTCTATGGGATAAATAAATTCCTTTTTGCTCACACCAGTTTAGTCTGGCTTTGCTGTCACTTACGACTGAAAGAGACCTGACTTATACACAAAGTGGCCAAATGGTCAGGTTTATGGCTAAAAACTATTCTTGAGACTCACTAGGACCAAAGCAGATCTGCCCATCCTGTCCTCATGGGGCCGCTGAGCCCCAGCCCAGTGACATGTGGCAGGGCGGGGAGAACTGAGCACCTTGACCAATGCTGGCCCGGACTGTCGGATTAAGTCAGGCGTGTTTCTTTAGGATCAGATGTGAATGACAGAAGCAACCATTTCCTTTCCCCACGTTCTCACTGCCTGGTGGCCTGTGGATGTTCCTTTCTGGCTTTGTCTAGTCTCTGGCTGGCTGTGGCTCTCCCATCACGGGGACAGCTCCACTGAGGAAGATGACGCGCTGAGCCCAAATCAGGAAAAACATACAGGGTGAGAAGTGCTCCCACAAAGGCTGTGTAGAAGTCACCCCCAGAGAACCCCCACTCCCCTAGCTGATTAAGAGAACTGAGAACCTCGGGGGACCATCACTGCAACAAAGAATTGATGCTGAAGTGGATCCGGGGTCCCTGCTAGGAGGCCATATACCAGAGCGCAGCAGCCTGGCTCTGGTCACTGCCCAGGACCCCTAATGACCACAGCAGCCAGTGCTTGGCATACAGCAGGTGCAAAGTCAATATTTACTGAATTAATTGACTCCCTCAGAAAGCCGGCGGAGGGTGTGGCCTGGCTGCAGGGTGCTTCAGTGCTGCAGGGGAGGTGTTTCACCCCGACACAGGACTCGCCCAGGCCAACGAACTGTGAGTGGAAGAGACGTGTCCTGCTTTGGGGCAGAAGCCTTTTTGAGCCAGTGTCTAATTTGTTATGCTTCCTTTCCCTTGCAATGGAGCATTCCAGATGGGAGAGGCTCAGCATTCCCGAGTGAAGAGAGTGTGGAACCCATTCCCTGAGCCAAACTGAGATGGATGTGCAGTGTGATCGAGAACGAGACTTGTGCTGTTTCAAGCCCCTGAGATTTGGGGATGTTTGTTACTACAGCTGAACCCAGCCCATCCTGACTGATACACTGCTGCCGGGAATAGCAGGGGGTGACACCACCAGCAAAGGTGAAATGAGTATAGTAGAGTCACCTCATATTCACATTTTAACTCAAACAAATCCAGTTGTCTAGAGAAAAATATTTTGTTGCATGTGGCATTTTACCTGCCCTTCTGCTCTCTGAGTGAATGTGAGATTAGAGACAAAATCATGCAGTGCCCTCAACTGCACACCCCTTCATGCTCCGCGTGTTTCAAGATATGCATTTTCTGGAAAATATGGCCACTAAGGTCAAATCAATGACTTTATCCAGTGTCTCACCAAAACCCAGCTCCAATACTGGAAGGAAACTGGCTGTGTAGCGGCAGCCCTGGGAGATGACATGCCCCCTTCCTAGGAGACTTCTAGGGATGATTCTGTCCCTGTGTGATTTCTGCCTTGCTGGTTGCAGATGTGACTCTACTGCACAGAAGGTGAGTCCCTTAGGGACTCATGGTCAAGCGGTCCTTGTCTTCCTCAACCTTGGGCGGACCCAGCCTCAGGCAGGAGGCCCCCAGGGGATGCACAGCACACCTGCCGGGTCCTGCTCTGATCCTGCACTGGCCCTGCTTGCTCCTCTGCCCACCCCCCCCACCCTCCCCTCCTGCGTAAGGAGGAAAGGCCAGCCCAGCGGCGAGTTCCCTGTCACTCTCACCCTTAAAGGGGCCCCTGCCATCTGCCGTCAAAGAATGACTTTGAGGGGGACTTCAGGCCTACCAGGCATTCCTCCCACGACCAAGTGATTCTGGCACACCAAGGATGCGGCAAGGGTGATGCCAAGCCTGTCTGGCTTTGCCAGCAGGGGGCCCCCGTGGGCGAGGTAGCGTTTATTAAATGAGCTGGTCTGTTATCACGATGGCTCTTCCAAGTGGCTGAACGGAAGCCTTGGTGCAAACCTATTCTTCTACCGGGATCGGAGACAGCGTCCTGTTTGGGTTTTGTTGGTTTTGTTCTTAGCATCCATTTTCCTCCGTCGTGAATTAGATCCTTTTTTCCAGATCATCTCAACACCGACTGAACCAGGTCAATCACTGCTCTCCTCCCCACCCCCACTGACCCACGAG